CAGTCCTGTTATATCAGTATTCAACCCAGAGTTTGTGAAGTATAAATTAAATGTTTAACAATTGTATGGCTACATTTTACCGAGGAAGTTTCTTTAAACATCAAGGGTGAACTCTTCCAAATTTTCATTTCCTTAAGGAGATAGTTATAGCCACTGTAGTGGTATAATATATTTGAAATGCCTGCCCATGTATTTCCTGTAAAGTTGACATGGTCCTTTTCTGCAGTATTTCACTGTATTTGGATTATACCCATAGATATTTGCTACAGTTTTTGGTCTATCAACAATTTTGCTGTCTGATAGTTCATTCCAATTTTTCTCATAAAGAAAGAAACAACTATGGTAGTAGCATCAGAAAATTTTAAAATAATATAAACAGCAATTAGCAGTACAGAACAATCAAATAATCAGAATTTACCATTCTGTGGTAGGATATGAGGAAATTTTAAAGAGGTTTGGGTGTCAGAAACTACTGGGGACACTTCCTTAAGAAGAATTGCTGAGTTATTTCAGGTGTAACGTCTGTAATACACAAGCACAGAGCCCTTACCACAAAATCATACTGAACCTGATAAAATCAACCTGCGTTGATTCCAACATAATCATTAGCTAGTCCCTGCAGGTAGCTACTTAAAACATGGCAAAGTAATTATACAAGTTGAAGGTCAAAGTTACAAGTCCAAAAGAAACAATGCTGTTAGTTTCTACCAAATCCTGAGCACACATAAGCAGTTCTGACTTTTGGCTCAGCCTCTGGTGCATTACTTTAGACCTCAAGAGGTTGCATTTGTAAACAGTGACTTTCTATAAAAATAAAAATGTAGAAATCAGACATATTTCACAACACAGACATATGAAAATATACACAGATATCAAATAGATTATAAATGATTGTAAGGGTAGTTAATGTCCAGTATTTGCCAGTTACTGTCCCAATGGTTCTTGTACGTCCATTTCTATGACATGTTTCTGCAGCATGACAAAAATCTGACAATCTCAGGGGTTATTTTACTCTACAGTATTTATTTCTGTACTGGATGTGGAAAAAGGTTATTTACTAACAGTTGTTAGTTTTGGCACATAAAATACTCAAGCAAACAAAGATTCCTGGAACTAGAAAAAAAGCTTCCAGTAAAACAGAGATTGACCTCTCAAAAGTTCAAATAATACCTAAACTAAACATTACTAAATCTTCAGAGATGAAATGTTACTATCTTTACATTTCATTTTTCAAATGCAGTGGTAGCAGAGTGTTTCAAATCACACTTCTGTTCTCTCTAAGTTTGTAATACAGTTTCTGATACTACTTTTGCAGACCTTTGGTTTGGCTTTCTCTGGGGGTTTCTTTAGTAATGCTAAATGTCCTCTCCCTTGAGACAATTTTGTTCTAAGTGCCTCCCTTAGATCCACTGTGAAAAGATAGCCTTCCTGAATTTACAGAAAACCTAAAATTGACATAGAAGGTGCTGAATGGGGCCTTATGTTTTAATTAGGGACATTCTGTGTACTGATTATCACAGTGGGTTTTTTTTCTCCACAAAAACAAGTTAGTGCACAGATTTGCTTTACTGAACATTCCTTTCCTGCTTGAAATCATTATGTTTTTCCAGGGATGACCAATTAAGTTATTATTACTTTAGAAGATGAAAGAAGAAGAGGAAGCAAACAAGAAGGAGGACATAAAAATACCACTAAAAATATCAAAACAACCAAAAGGAGAAGCCCAAATTACTGCACATTTCAGGATGTCAGGAAACATAAGAAAGCAGACAAGAACATATGTATTGTTACATGCAGTATTTAAGCTGAAAGTAATGCTTAATGCTTAAATTTACATAAAAAAGTTGATATTACTATTCATATAACCTAAAAATTAGGTTATATTAAAAGATGTTAATAAGTTGTGGGGAACGGAATGATCTGTGTGGACTTGGCTTCATGGACAGCCACTAACATTCCACTGCACTCTCTAGTCAGTATAATCAGGTAGCCCAAACAGATGGGAACATGCTATAAAAACACTGAGTAACATGTCTTTAGGGGAATTTGTGGAGAGATAAAAGTATAATATTCTTGGGGCAGCACTAACAGAGGTAATATTTTATTTGTTAATTAGACTCCCATAAAGTTGTCTCTTGAAAATCAGGTTTTTCTGCAGTTTTTGTGATCATCTCTGGTTCTAATAAAGACAAATGGCAGAGCAGCAAAACATCCAGTAAAAGTAAGACTTGATAACCTAATTTTGGATTTAACATTCCCTTGTTTTTGCAGTTAGGGCTTCAGGTACTTTTTGGTAGAACTGCAAATGAGGTGCAAATAATTTTGAGAAAAGAAATTAATTTGATCAGCAAGTTGTTGGAAGAGCTGAATTTCTTCTTCAGCAAGGAAGAAATAGGACTCGTGTTATTTACTTTAATATTCTTAAGTAAATGTGTGAAGCACTGGCTCATGCCCACTAAGTTCAATGAGAAACCACTTGAATCCTCAGCATTTTGGATAGGCACATTATTTTGATGGCTTCAAGGAATAGGACTGTCAGGACTATGAGGAGTAGAGCTGAAAAAGGGAAATCTTGATCTAACTAAATTCAATGGGAATTCTACTGTTCACTTAGAAAAGGCTGAAATGATTTGTGATAATTTGCCTTGTTTCAGTTAGGCTAGAGTATGATTGGGTGGGCTGGCTATGGAAAGCTCATGAATAATTATTATTATAAAGGAAATATCTAAGCCATTAAGACCTGAGTTTTCCTAACAGCAAGATGTCAAAAAATGTATTAAGCTGTTACGAAAAAAACAATGAATAAAGAACCAATTCTGATTCCTTGAAAAGGTAAAAAAACCCCAGCTCAGGGATTCTAATTAGTTTTTTTACAATTTATTCCATCCTGTCAGATATGAAGGGTACAACTGACCCTTCTGCATATACAAACATGAGGGAATTTCACAGGCATCAGCATCAGGGAAAATATGTTTCTACCGACAATAGGATCATGCATTATGCTTCAATACAACCTCAACTGCAGATATTTAATACACTTATTGAAGTGGTATCATAGCTTGTTATGTGGGAGCTAGAACACTGGCTTAGTGTAATTGCTGCTTTCCAGGCCCTTATGACCTTAATTCCTGAAGTCAAGGTTATGTGTTTTAGGGATATACCCACAAAAGGCAACTAAAAAAAATGCATCAAGGTGATCAGGAATAATAATAAAGAATTAAAAATCCATCACCATTTTGCTGTTAAAATGACATGTAACTTATGTGAATACTGATATTAAAATAACTTCTTTTTTTCATACTTCAATCCCTCTACAGTATAATTCATTATTTCAAATTAACAGTGGAAAAGGCTTTAGCTGAAAAACTTCCTTGTCTGAGACCAAAAGCTTCATTAGCATAATTCCTTACAGTCCTTCTGTTAGTATTTTCAGGGACAAGAATATAATTATCCTTTGTAAAAAAAGAAGAACTGTGAACGCAGTGAAATTATGGAAGATCTAGATTACAACTCCAGTGAAAAAATGTGGGACGAATTGGATAGGAATATAAATATCAGTTCTGACTGAAGTATGAAACAGGCAAACAACAAGGAAAAAAAACCCCACCCTTTTTAGAACATTTTGAGATGTGTGAAAACTACAAATGCTAGAACTGTGAAAAGGAAACTGGGAATTTGATCCATATGTTCTGGAAATGCCAGTGCCCACAGCTAAATTATTTTTGGAGAACAGAACAGAGAACAGAAGAACAACTGCTAACACTGTTATAAACACAGGGTCTCCCTGGTGATGCAAAGATCTTACCGTGGCAGATATTAATGAATGACTGTTACCATCTGGTTTCCATATATGAAGAAATAATCTTTAGTATGTTCTAGAATAATTACTAAGGAATATGATATAATATTTCAATTGTTTATCTAATTCTCTGAGAAGAAATCATTCTGATAACTCCAAGGGGAAAAAACGATATTCAGGGTGGTTCACACATTGATTTTCATTATATAGGTGAATATAATTTAAAAGCCTGAACTGAATTAAGCAATTCCAATGTATCAGAGAAGATCACATTTAAAGCTTGAGAAGCTCTTTATCATGGTATATTTTTACAAAGTGAAATATTTTTAATGCCTGCAGCATATGAAATAGCAGTATGACCTGTGGACAGATTCTGCTACTGCTTCTTAAAACCAAAAGCACAAAATGTTGATTACAAGAGAAACAATTGGCAGCTAACTTGTTCTCAGGAATGCATGACTGGAAGGGCTGAACTTCACTTGTTCTGTTATTAAAGACAACCAAGCCCCATATTTCTATTCTGTACTTTTAGTGAGCAGAATCTTCTTAGCAGTTGGTGTCTTCCACTTTCTACCTGAGGGCTGACCCTGGACACTTCTCTGACAATTCAGTAGCCTGCAATTGTCACATTCAGTTTACTCTAGACAGCCAGTATCCATTTGCACCAACAGTATCCTTTTAGTATGCCACATGTACTGCCATAACTACTTCATGCTAGTAACTCTTGCCACAGAGAGGGATAGAGACCAACATAAAGAGGGACAGATTTAAAGAAAGCAGTATGCACATTTTCTTGGCCATACCAGCAAACTCTCCTTGAAAAAGCTGAAAGATGTCTATAAAAATTTTGAATGGTGGCAGCTATATACCATCTGTTTCATTCTGCTTTAGGAAGGAATTGCATCAATCCATGATCTTCTATATACCACCTCTCCTTCCTAACAGCCACTAGGCAAAGCCTAGCAACAGTTGTACCTATTGTATTGGAATAATAATAAAAAAAAGAGTTTCTTTTATTACAAATGACATTTGAAAATTATACCAATAACACACTTCTGGTTTGATACTGAGTTTTACTCTTCTTTGAAAAAATGTCTATGCTAAGCAATTTATGAATTCTGAAAATAGTTCTCTGCACATATAATCATCAACCTTGAACAGTTTTTATTTTTCATGTCTTTATTCATTCTTTTCTACATAGTATTTGTGGAATTCAGCATCTGGAACGAGCAGGAAACAGGTTGACTCTCTTTGACTCCCTTTATTTCTGCATAGTGACATTTTCCACTGTGGGCTTTGGGGATGTTACACCCAAGATATGGCCTTCAAAGCTGCTTGTTGTCATAATGATCTGTGTTGCTCTTGTGGTGCTGCCCATACAGGTAAATGTGGATTTTAATTCTTTGTAGAATTGTTTTTAAGACAAAAGAATAATAACTGAAATAATTAACTGTTACTATTATTATTGCATATAAAATGTGAGAAAAAATAACTGTCTTCTCTACTTCCTATTCTATGGAGGGGTTTTTTTTTTTTAGTTTTCTCCTGTCTGTTCTCCTGTACTCTAAATTTATACTAAAAAACAGAACTAATAACAGTTTTCAAGTGCTGATGAAAGCTGTCTGCTCCTGTCATGTACCACAGAGCCCTTCCTTTGTCCTGAGATACAGGTTTGTTATTAATGGAGCAATTTTAAAAAACCACAACAGTAGCCAGCACTTTCTTTATGAGTACAGCATTTCCTCTGCAGGCTCTCCCTGTTTCTAATCTGGGTTGTCTCCACTTCCTCTCTTACTCTTACAGCTCAGTGCTAACTTGAAAAAAATCTCATTAAATCTGCAACTCAAGCAAATTGGGTTCACATCTGTGTGTGGTACACACGCACACAGAGTCAACGGTGCAGTTAGGAATTTTTCATGCCTACTTAAGTTTAGGACTTCTAACAGTTTCAACAGGAAAAGGCTGATTTATGAACATCCAAGTATTTCAAGGAGTCAATCAGCTTTATTAAATTCATACCAAGCATTTTGCAGCTCATTAGGTGAGTCTAGATGACAGAAACCCTGAGGTTACATGGGAAGTCCTGCCAAGATATTCACTGTTCCACACTTGGTGATCACCCAGACCTTGTGCCAGAAAAAGGGGATGTAGGGAGACATTGTGCATACTTATCAAAGCTTATAGTAGACCTGCTAGACCAAGAAGCTCCAAAGCTTCTCACACAGCTACAGTTTCCAGACTGCTTCTTTGACAGTGAACTAAGCTTCACTATGAGCACACACCACAGCAACACCAGGAGGTTGAAAACTCAGACTTTCAGCATTAATGTTCTTGAAGTTATTTGAACACTCTAATTACATCTAAACATTTAATGTCAGTATACACATGCACTAACACAATTATATTCACACTCAGAGAAAAAAATAGAAAAATATATATTCAGTTGAAAACTCAAATGTGCTCTGTTCAAGAAAAGTGGAATTTCCTAGGATATACAAATTTCATCTCTCAAGTAATTGTGATCATACTTCAGGCATAAGACTTCTGCATTAGCAGCAAATAACTCTTCAGGCATAAGAGTTCTGCATTAGCAGCAAATAACCTAGAATCTACTGGTCTTTCACATAAATTTACCTATTATTAGCCACTTTATTTTATACCTTTGTAATGATAATGGGGCTTCATATAGCTTTCCATACACAGAATGTGGGAGGCATTCTCTCCTGAGCTTTTGTCCTGCTATGATATAAGATCAGTTATTATTCATGGTTCAGCCCCTCCATCAGCAGCTATCACACAAAGTTAAAATGATCTCAGTATCAAATGGGTTTTACTTACAAGAAACTTTGAAATAGTGTTTGCATGTTTTATTACAGATTGCTACAGTATTCCCTTTAGTCTAAATGATTCAGACTAGTAGACTAATGTTTACTGTTACCCTGCATATACTGCTCAGCTGGCAAAGGCAAATTTGATGTATTAACAGCTGCTGTGTATTTAAGTTGTACCTAAATTTATAAGACAGATAAGAGAGTATACAGAAGGTCACCTTCAGAACATGATAAAATCTCTAGGAAGAGTTACTGCCCAGACTAGGAGAAATGGTGCTTCTATCCAAGTTTACTCACAGTATGTGTGAAAATTTAACCTTTCATATGAGGGAAGAATTTATGTCACATGGCCCTAGCAAAAGAGAGCTCAGAGGTATAAAATACATAAAGGACAAAGGACCAGCCTTCATTCTTTTGTAAAATCTTGAGATTTAATGTAATCTCCTGATATTTTTTCCACCGCTATTTGTGTGTGGTAGATTCTGGCACTACTGCCATGTTCTTCAATGATGAACGATGCAACATTGTCAAGTCATTACACAATTGTACTGTGCACCTACTTGTCTATATTTCACTGACAATTGGCATCTCCTGCAGTTTGAACAACTGGCATATTTATGGATGGAGAGACAAAAGTCCGGTGGAAACTACAGTCGATACAGAGCTCAGACAGAAAAACATGTTGTGCTGTGTGTAAGCTCTCTGAAGATTGACTTACTTATGGATTTCTTGAATGAATTCTATGCTCACCCCAGATTGCAGGTACTGAGAGTAAAAAGAAAAAAAATTATTTCAAAATCCCCTAAACAAACCCACCCCCAAACCCCCAAATAAACAAACCAAACCAAACCAAACCCAACCAACCAAAACAAAAAAAAAGAAATTCAAAACACTGATTTATTTGTTTTTTGTTTTAGAAAGGCTCTAATGAGGTCTTTTATTTGTAAAACTGAGTTTGGGAATAGCTAGCTGTATTGGAAAACTATAATTGCAATAAGAAGCTTAGATACAGTATGGAGATGTTTTAAATTGAGGTAAATAGACTAAACAGGTAGAATTACTGTCATGTTGAATTATGCCAGTCCTTTTAGAAACAGATATTTCCATGCAAATTCCTTAGATTCTACCCCAGAATAGAAAAGAAATGAAAGCTACTCAAATTATTTTTTCCCATTGTTTTTGACTGGATCCAGAAATCCTCAGAAGTCAAATCATATTTTGGTTTTCACATTTTGCTTTGTGTTTTTGCCAGTGTTAGAAGTCACAGAATGGGTAAGACTGGGAGGAACCACAGTGGACAGTCTGGTTCAACCACCCTGCTCAAGCAGAGTCATCCTAGGTTACATTGTACAGGATTTCGAAGATTAGATCCTTTTGAGATTGTGGAAACTGAGAAATAAAAATACGTACATTAATGGACAAAGGCCTTGAAAGATTACACAGAAGCGATTTTCCTAGTGCACACACATTCCCTAGGTAATGCAAATATGTCATATGACTTGTTTGGAGCATCTAAAAGCTCATTTACCTGAGATGGCAATCTGGATTTATTGTCATTAGCTTTGCTACAGACCATTTCTTTTACTAAATCTTCTCTGCCTTTTACTATGCTACCTGTGGTACCATGCCTCATTAACTAGTACAAAAATCACACAAACCCAATCCTCAAATTGCTAAGCAGCAATTTGTCAAATTCAAAATGTTCCCCAAAACAATTAGCTAGTGAGAGGCATAAGCAAATGTACAAACCAATTCAGTTCTTTATAGCTGCAAACACAAATTGAAATCCAAAAGTTAGTTAACTAACCTGAAGAATGAGTCAGCTTCTGTGAGACACCAGAGATAAAGAAGTAAAGCCCTAGTACTACTCATGAGGCCTAAAAGAACTTATATACATTCCCTTTACAGCTGAAATTGCATTGGACTTAATGATCTCAAAGGTCTTTTCCAACTGTAATGATTCTATGAACTGGGAAGCTGAAGGATACAGATACTGCATTAAATGCACTGAGATTTCTGCAAAAATCTGTGTCCTAAGACTGATCGGCCTGTCCTAAGCTTTCGGTCTCTCTTCTCATGTTCCATTTATCTCTACTTTTCATCTGTGTATGCTTCAGACCAACCTAACTTTTCCTAACAAGGTCTATCTGTAGCACAAGAAATAGAGTTTTGATTTGCCCATTAATGTAGAGGAAAAAATTTTGGACAAGCCAACTCCTGACTATCAGAGTCCATCAGAGATGTTTTTGACGTTCCAAGTTACTGATGAGTCATTCTCCATCAACAATAAGTGGTAACATAAGGCAATAACATGACTATTTCCCACCCTTCCACTTTTATTTTTTTTTACAGGACTATTATGTTGTTATTTTGTGTCCTACCGAGATGGATGCTCAGGTCCGAAGGGTGTTACAAATTCCAATGTGGTCCCAAAGAGTTATCTACCTGCAAGGCTCAGCACTGAAGGATCAAGACCTGTTGAGAGCAAAGTAGGCAAATAGTGACCATTGTTTTTTACTTTTGTTTCACTCATATTGTTTGATAAACAAGTTTAACAAACAGCAAAAGCTGTGCTAGCAGGAAAACATGTATTTGGAAAGCCAAGCTCTTTGATACAGTTTGGTTTTCTTAATGTATGAAATTTTTCAAAGAACAAGTATTTGTAAGCACTTTGATTTGACCAAATTTTTTTCAGGCTTTTCTGTCTCGTTGTTTAAAGGAATTGAAACAGAATTCCAGTGATTCCTTCCGAAAAAGCAGAACAGAAAATTCCAAAACTGACAGTAATGATAGAATATGTTTCTATTCCTTTAGAAAATATGGTAAAGGTGATGATAGTTCTCCTGCCCAACTGAAGGGGAAAAAAGGAAACAAAAATACTTATCACCCTGTGAACCCATTGCACAGTTTTGGGTTTTTTGTAAGTTTAGCCTGGTAATATTAAGCAACTATTTTACTATACCCCCATATACTCTTCTTTCAGGGCCTTCCTCTTACCACAGATTCCACCACTTCTAAAAACTGCTCTCTGCAAGTTAATAGGGAACATGACATGAACATGACATTTCTGAAAACACATCAGTCAAACACAGTTCCTCACACTGCTCCCCCATTGCTCAGTCAGTTGAGTGTGTGATGGAATTCACATAGGAGGATCATCTCTTTAACCTCTCCAAAGAGAAAGGTGATTCTTAGCAAATGACTGATTTAAGCTTTCTGCCTTGCTCTATAATGTAGATATCTAAATTTAAGCAATGTATGTCTGACTGTGTCGCTCAGCCTTCTTTACCCAAGGGGATTTATTTCCAAGAATCTCATCTGTGAGAAGCCTCATGAGCAGTGTTATGTTCTCAGACTTCTGCCACTGAAAAAGCAACTACTTCTATTACTTCTATATCTGTCTAAAATTTGACAATAAAACTTTTTTCAAGATTAATAATTTTCTTTTAGAGAGATTCCCCCTTTTTTTTTTTTTTTGCTTTCCTGCTTATTTTGAGAAGGAATTCATGCATGCATGGCTTTGGCTGAGATTTGTTCTACTTGTTAGGAGAAGAAAATTAGGCTGTTCCCTAAATATAATCTTGAATTTCACTTATAATAACCTGGAGGTAGTCAGCTGTGGAAATGTGCTTTTTCCTGCAGAACATGTAATTTAATGTACCTGTCACTGAATAATTCTCAGCCTCTCCTGAGGGAAGGAGCATAGTGGGAATTTAATATGAAATATAACCCAGTACCTGAGCATTTCTTTTTAAGGAGAACATAATCTACTGAGAAGATAAGAAGGCACATGGTAAACTTCTAATAAATAAAGTAATGGTTACCAAGCACAACAAAGTTATCAAGTGTCTGATTATCAAAATTTATGTATATTTATACATGTTATGTGTAAGATCCAATGTCAAAATAACATGATAAAGGTCACACCAAAAAGTAAAGGAATACCAAAAGTTGAATGACTGCTAAGCAGGGAAGAATCAGTTAATGAAAGACTGTAGTTTTCTTTATATGCCCTAGTACACAATTTGACTTTACAAATATGATACTCATTCTTTCTTCCTACCTTTGAAAGCCTCACCTTGCAAATTCTTGGTGTTGTCTGAACAGTTCACGTGCCCAACTTTAACGAAGAAATTGAATTAATTCTGCCATGATGTACCACATTGTTCATCAGCATGTCTGGAAACTTTGCTGCTTTGGCCTTTGAAACAACACAGTAACTGATTAAAACAGCTCTCATTCTCCATGCAAACTAGCACTTGACAGTGAATAACACTACCATGCTTGATTTTTTTCCCCTACGGCTTTCTCCCATATTCTGTCTGGACCTCAAATACTTTTTTCGTTCCTTCCACATTCTTCAGTGAACCACTCTTTTTCTTTAGCTTATACTTCCATTCACAAATGTCTCCTTTATATATTAAGTTCCTTTATTTTCTGCCATCTCTAAGCAATGGAACTGTTGGGTTTTCTTGTCTCAGAGTCAGTTTTCTGGCACATAAAAATGGTGTAATTGGCAAATCCTTTTAATTTGTTAGGATATTAATAACACTTCTCTCGTATTCTGGGATCTAATAAATGCTTTAAACACAGATGTCATTAATGTTTCTGATGTCTAAATTCATGACATTCATAGTTGTTAATCTCAGGTTATCATCCTTGTCACGTGTGACTGAAGTAATTCAAGAGTTTACAGAAAAAACATTGTGGAAAACAGGAAATATGTTCACATAAAGTTTTATTTCCTTATGAAAGCATCTATATATGGTCATCCCAGTTACCTCATCAGCTCTCATCAAAATCTCATCTAATTTCACTGAATTTTCTTTCCTACAACTTTGGTAAAATCCTATCTTCCCAGTACTGCTCTCATGCTTAGTTGAAACTGCTCATACAAGTCCCGTGATTTTTTCCTAATCAAAGGCACCATGAACTGAAAATAGTTCATTTAATGTATACATACATGGAATTGCTTATTATTTTTCCCAAACACATTACTCTTGTACATCTACCCAACTTTCTGCTTTCACTAGGCAAGACAAGTCTACATGAAGTTATCTGCCCCATCTCATTCATTCTTATCAATAGTAACTTGTGCATATCATACCCTTACACACTAGGCAGGCTGGTGCTATTTTATGCACCTTTTATACTCACAGCAGATAAATAATTTTGCAAATTAAGTGTGTTTGAGGCCACTCTGCTTTTGGTACTTTGGCACAGGTACTGACACCAAAGAAAGAAATTTTCCTAGAACTCAGGCAAGGAGAACTAGCACACGGTGAGATGGTGCTGCTGACGTGCAGAGAATGCATGAGAACAGGGAGACTAAACTTTCTCTGCACTTTGTTTCTATACACAAGACTATGAATTGTGAAACACAAGCCCATGTAAGTACTTTGCTGGTTAAGGGACTTGAGCACAAGTGCTATGAGGAGAGGCTTTAGAGGATTGTTTATCCTGGAGGAGAGGAGGCTCAGGGGAGACCTTATCACCCTCTACAACTCCCTGACAGGAGGTTGGAGTCAGGTGGGGGTTGGTCTCTTCTCCCAGGCAACCAGCAGCAGGACAAGAGGGCACAGACTCTGCCAGGGGAGGGTTAGGTTGGATATTAGGAAGAGATTTTTTTACAGAGAGAGTGCTCAGACATTGGAATGTGCTGCCCAGGGAGGTGGTGGATTCACCATCCCTGGAGGTTTTCAAGCTGAGACTGGATGTGGCACTTAGTGCCATGGTCTAGTAACCACGGTCGGGTTGGACTTGATCTTTGAGGTCTCTTCCAACCAGGTCGATTCTATGATTCTATGTAACAGGCTTATCTCCTCTCTCCTAGAATGGATGATGCTGAAGCTTGTTTCATCCTGAGTAGCCGCTGTGAGGTGGACCGGACAGCAGCTGTAAGTTTGGGTGAAACAACTAAGAATGAATGTGCATGCTGTTACTCCGTCACTGCCCTTACTCCCTCTCAGGGCCTGAGCTGTCTTCTGTGAATAGCAGATTAAATTAGCTGATTCACACTGTGATTTTGCATGTGGGATGAACTTGTTGTCTCAGATAAGATAGTGAAAATATTTCTATTGGATTCTGTAAGGCTAGGGTTTCCCAAATTTATGAAACATGATTCTAATGGCTCATTTCACATAATGTATCTACTTCTGCTTTTTTTATAAACTAAATTACATGACCTGTGTACCAAAGAAGTTAGGATTTTACAGCATGTTTTAGTTATACATTGAACATTTTTTTAAAAAGTAGGAATTTATACAGTCTAACAGGACTTTAAAATAACTATCACAAACCAGTTTTATGCTGAATAAAGTACATTTTTATCAGTTCCATTCATTTATTTTTTTTATGGAACAATGAGAGATTAGTATATTAGCACTACTGTAGTACCTTACATAGATATAGATTGATAATTGGTCATTTATCACTCCCAAGAATAGTACTCTATCAAAAGGTTTCTATTCAAATTACTTGACCTAATATCAGTGTTTGCTCTAGACATCCAATTCAAAGAGTTGTATTTATTAAATCAGAGAAGAGATATATATCATCTGACTGCTATTTTCATTCAGACCTACTGAAGTATTGAAAGTTTACCACTAACAAAATAAAGATTGAATTCACCTTTATAAATAAATTTGTGACTAATACCAAACAACCAATATATCTGAGAATATTTGACCATTTTTCATACTGGTCAATTTTAAAAATGAGAACTATCAAGATATTTAAAATAGGCTTCTATGGTTTTACCCATGCTACTAGTTATTTGCAGTCAGGTAAGTTACTGTCTACAAAGGAAGACTTATAATACAAACATCTGTTCAGTGTATCTGCGATAAAAGGATGTTAAAACTATTTTAATATGAACCAGAACTCTTCCAGCTAAAGAAATTACCTAGTGAGCACAACCAGGAAAAAAGTCCACAGAGGAAAGATTTATGAACATAACTTTACATTTTTCACCACGAGTTGTACACTAAATTATTACACACTTGCCTCTATTCAGTTCAATCTTGAGCACCAAAGGAAGATCAGAATAAATCTGAGTATTCACAAAGATGCTTACAAATTGCCTAACAAGACTGAACCAGTATTCTTAATGCAGTAATTATGTTTTAAGCAATCTCAATTAAAAATACTGTTTTGCTGCTGTTATACAAAATAGCAATTACTTTTCTGAATGCTAAACACAGATACAGTAAAACACGTGAAATGAGGCTTTGCATTATATATGTAGCATTTTGTAAGACATTCTCTATCTCTTGTTACAATCTGCCATCAAAACTCAGTTGTTTCCATACCTACACATATGGCTTATCAGGAAAGGGAGAACAATAAAAGCAACATAAGATGCAGCTAGCAAGAAGAAAGAATATTTCCTTGGTAGGAAACTGAGGCCCCAGAAGCAAATTTTATCAAGCATACATTTTTTTGTGGACTATCAGCATGCTGTAAAATATTTATTCAAAGTTACCAATCCTGTGCTGGACCCATCACTTGTAGAAAATCACAGAACTTCCTGGGAAATAAATCTGTACTCCTACATTGAAACTTACTGAGCTAAGAGCTTTGAATATGATTTGTCAGCAATAAACTTCTGAAAATACAGTAGTGAAAGCCACAGATTTGGCAGCAAGTAATCCTGGAGCAGTCAAGCAAGATGAGCTTACTGTTTCGAAGTGACAGAGGGTCTAGGGTATTTAAGGCTAAGAACAAACAAGTGTTCTTGAAAATACCTGGGAAAATACCAGTAACTTCTAAGAGACTGAAAAATATCAAAAAAGCCATACTGTCTTGCCTAAATCAGCCATGAGTTCAGAATAGATCAGCTACATCATCTCACTTCACAAAATATGCTTGACAGTTGCATAATGGTTAGAAGTGAGAAATCCCATACAAGCAGAGCATGTGATTTTCGTTGCACTTGATAGGTTTGTGCAGTGTTAAAGACAGCTGCACTGACAGGTAAGCTGTTCATCTCTGCTCATAACTGCTCCAGAATTGATGCCAAGAAAGGACAATTTTCAACTCCACTGAACTGTCCTACAGGGCAGACAGTAGACCCTACATGGAGCTTCTATCCATTCTGGCCAGCACTGTCAAGTTTGGGCTCTGGAGTTGTGGCCAGCTACAACTCTCTCTAGCCATCCTTTCTCCCCTCAGGGACTGTGTGACTGTTGGAAACCCCAAAATTGTACCTGGCACATTTCAGATGCCAGTACAGACTGTTATGAAATCTCCTTTAGCTTTGTATCTGGAGCATACAGACAGGCATGTCTAACCCAAGACACCTGGTACCTTCCTCTAGGACAAAATGATCTTCTGGGGGGTTGCCTAGCTAGTCATCATGGCACAGTGTCTCAGCTCTAGCAATCATATTTTGAGTGTCAGTGTGATTTGAAGTTTTAAAACAAGGTGCCACCTCTCTGTCTTGTTTTCTCTTTTGCTGTCAGATCACCTTTTCATGGGGAACACAATGTTTTATATTGCAAGCAGAAAACAGGGGGTTTTTTTAATGATTGTTTTATTTGACTGCCCCCTAGAGCTTTGCAATGAAATGGATTTAATTTGCTACAGTGTTCCAGCTCCAGTCACTAGTAACAACTTCGTTAATGTAGTACATAAGTTCACAGTTTGTCACTGGGCTGAAGGAAGTTCAGTTTTCACCCCAGTATGAATCTCTATATCTACAACTGATTTTTCACCCTGCTGCTGTTGAGAAGCTGCCAAACTGGTGAGAGCCTTGGGTCCTCTCCTATCTCTGATGGCTGTCAAAATAAAAGGAGTTTCCTGACCAGAACAGCTGTTGTTACTCAAGAGATTTTTTCTAACTTTGTGAGGGTTTTTACCTCCTCAGTTACAGTCCTCAAGCAGAGCATCTACTCATTTGTAATGGCTGGTCATTGCTTGCTATTTTTTTAGTTAATAAGTTTGAGTGCCAACCCTTCTACTGCTGACAGCTTTGTTCTGATGCTTTCTGAAAATTCAGAGATGGTCCAGTTCAAGTTCGTAACTTTTTTTTTTTCCTTTCCATTAGTCAAATTGTGTGACACTAATGTACTGGTAATCCACATTACACTGCCTTAATAGCATCACAATATGGATGATAATGTGGCAAGAAAAAGATTCAATTAACAGAACTATTTAAAAATATATATTAAGTGCATTTCTTTCAGTTCTGATGATTTAAATTCCTGTTACACCCACTTTAAAACTTATTCATACATGAACTTAAATATCACCTCTATATGAATCACCATTTGTGTCAGTAATTTTTTGAAGAAGTGAATATATATTTTTCAAAAAACCATATATATAATAAGAAGAATAGAAGCATCATTTTGTTTCAGTTTTCTCTGGCCATTGTATGTAAATATGTATAATATATGTATATATATCCATATACATACATATTTTACTTGAGACAAATCTGAACATTTTTAAAGTCACTGCAATATAGTATAGAGATTGTTACATTTGTAAAACAAAGAGCCACCAATACTGTATGAAGAGACTGAATCTAAGAAATCACTTAAAATGCCTACCCATATTTTTCTCTCTCCCCTGAAGTGCTTCTACAGAGTGGAATTTGGAAGAATAACTGAGCAGAAAAAAACTTGGAAACCCAAATAACCAGCTTTTGTACACAAATGTGTATATACCAAGTGAAAAGAAAGAAAACAATAATTCCAAGATTATTGTATTAATAATGCATACACACTGAGTTGATCTTAAGCTATTTAGGGCATTTAAGTATACATTTAATGTATAGTACATATTTGTAGACTGCTGCTTGGAAGAAGAGTTAGGAAATGCAAAACAACACATTTCACAGTGTTAAAACTGCAAATTACCAAATAATCATCATGAGATTTTAATTTCCAGGGTCTTTCCTTTTTATATGCAAGTATATTAAAAAAAAATTTATGTTAAGATTCATACTTTTGATTTTACAACAGACACTTCTATAGGTCTAGGTTTGTTTGGGTTTCTTAATAAAATAGTGTCATTTGAATCATTTTATGAAGCAATCTTCATTCTTATATTTAACAATTCTTTCACATTAGGATAAAACCAGGCTTTTTGCACAAAATAATAAAAATTTGCAAGAAAAAAATCTAACATTGAGAAGAAAATAACTATATTTCTAGGCATGTGGCATACAGAAAACAGCCTTTCCTCACCACTTTTGCAAGGCAGTGCTGTCTGAATGATTACTGTGGACGGGAAGGGAGGAAACTCTAAATGTCAAACCCTGTGCAATTAAACCACATCATCACTGCAAGTGACTCTGTGTTCCCCTGACACCATTAGCAAAAAATATTAGGCAACATCTTCAACAACACAGGTTTTTCACATCTGTCCCAAATCCACTCCCAAACCTGTAATATTTGGTATGACTGCCATCTATCATACTACCCAGCCACGTGCTGCTTCTAAGGTGTGTTGGCATTTCATTCCCTTAAGACAAAACAGCAAAAAAATCTGTTTACAAAAAACCCTATATGCTAAGGGGAATATGTTGCCATATACTAAGTGACTGCATCCAAGGAAAGCCTACAGCAGGTTACAGCCAAGTTCTACAATCTCCTCAATAGGCACAGCAATCCTACATCTATGAAATTGCTAATAAGAAAAATGTGAAATAATGTAATTTACCATCCTCAAAAGGTCTTCCTCTTATGACTTCATTCTCGTATTTCTAGTAGAAAAAGTACTTGCTAACATCTCAATTGACATTAAAATATTTTGGTTTGAAAATATCAATAACATTCTGTTCCAGGCAGAGATTTTCCCTTGTGTTCAGGAGTCTGAAAGCTTTTCTTATTGCTGATGCTGCAAACATAATGAATCATTCTTTATATTTTATCTTTTAATACTACCCATTTCACGACTAGGAAGGTATTTCAATCAAATATTGCTACCTAGATGCAGTTTTGGAATAAATTAAAACTGATGGCTGATACACCAAAATTAGTCTGATGTCACAAAATTCAAAATATGAATGTATTATCACACAGATTACTTTTATGGGACAGCAGTTTTCATCCTGCACTTAACTCCTTCTTGACATATGGTAACAAGTACAAAAACTAACAGGCTGGGAAATCCCTTGGAATCCCTTGGTCAGTAGCTGGCTAAATTCTGACCTCAGTTGCACAAAACTGTAGATCTGCACTTAATTAAGATATTAGTTTTTAGAATTGTGCACAAATTTAAACTCTCAGTTCCTGATGCCCTCATTTAATGCTTTTTAGTGTTGAGTCTCTTTGGAAGGACATCTCTGCTACATCATTCTTGATTACTTAGACATGACTCATCACTGCAATCTAAGTTTTCACACAATTCTTTCACATTCAAGTGCCACCCCTTTCCAAGTGACAGGATCCCTAACACCTGCAGAAGAATAGGAGAGGGTCAAAATACCTTCTAAGTGGAAGATTTCTGGAAAAAACCTCTCTATATTGCATTCTAGCAAATAGAATATATTATACGAGGAACCTAGGATAACAAAGGTTGGAAGGAAGCTCAGGAGGTCTCTAGTCTGACAGAAGTCAGTTATGAATGCAGACCATGTTGTTCAAGGCTTTATTTAGGTTTGTGTGGAAGTCTCCAAGGGAGCAGATAGAATAGCAGAAACTGCACTGATGATGTTCACAGGAAAAGGGTTTCTCCTTGTATCCAGCCTGAATCTTTATTTTCAACTTACAGCCACTGTCTCTTGTCTTCTAGCCCACATCATTGTGCAGAGCCTGGCTCCATCTGCTCAATAGCCATCCCATAGATAACAGAGATTGCTGTTAGGTCCACCTGAAGTCATCTCTTCTGCAGGCTGAACAAGCTCCCTTCTCTCAGCCTCTCCTCCTGTCCCTGTCCATCCTGGTGGTCCTTTAATGAAGTCAGGACCCCCAGGTCTTTGCCAGCAGAGCTGCTGCCAAGCCAGTCAGTCCCCAGCCTGTGCCAATGCAGGTGGTTACTCAGTCTCAGAGACAGGACTGTGCTTGTGCCCTTGCTAAATTTCATGAGGTTCCTGTCCATCCATTCCTCCACCTTGTCTTGGTCCATCTGAATGGCAGTCCTGCCCTCAAGTGTTTTGACCATTCCTTCCAGTTTGGTATCATCTGCAAATCTGCTGAGCATGCACTTGTTCACTTTCTCTGGGGTAAAGATGTTTAGCAGAACAGGCTTCAGCACAGATCCCTGTGACACTCCACTTGCCCCAGTTCTCTGGCTGGAGTACATGCCCTAAGACTCCAATCATCTAATGCACATTTTGCCCGTGTAGTTCTGCACTTTCTCTGGCTGGAGTACATGCCCTAAGAATCCAATCATCTAATGCACATTTTGCCCATGTAGTTCTGCACCCCTCCAGGCTGTAATGTTTGAACACAGAGAAGAGAACACAGACACAGCACTCATGTGCCCAGAGGTATAACTCCCCAGATCATCCTTTTGCTTGAAGATGGGTTGGAGACCTTCCCTAGTCTCCACAATCTTTCAAAGATAAGAGAGCAGCTGTACAAGGACAGTGGCCTGCTCCCTCTGTACCCATTTGACCCTACATATGGGTTGAGTTCTGTGAAGTACTCCCTGTGTAAGGGCATCCTCTGCTGTTTATTTTCCTGTGTGGGCTTGCATCACAGCAGAGCCTGAGAGACCTTGTTGATGAACACAGAGCACTTCAGTCTTGTCTGTGTCTGCAGAACTACTGGGTTATCTGTGTCCATGTATATGTATATTTATTGAGTACACATAATAGGTAATATTACTTATATAACATATACATAAACATCCACACCAGCTCATGTTGCATATTCTTAAAATGAGTTTTTTTTCAATGGAGATAATAGATTCTTTTTCTAATGTGACATGGTTATTTGCATTTCATTGTCATCGCCTCATACTCTTTATTCTAGGATCATCAAACCATTTTAAGAGCATGGGCAGTTAAAGACTTTGCTCCAAATTGTCCTTTGTATGTCCAAATACTGAAACCTGAGAATAAATTCCACATCAAGTTTGCAGGTAAGTGTAAAATTTCAGTCATTTGAAGCAACTTACTAGTATTTGGCAGTTTGTTTCATGAACACACAAGCAAAGTGAGAATCCCTGGGCATACTTACTGGTTAGAAGCTGATTAAAAGTACAGTATTGTAAAATAACATGGGGTGTATATATCTTGTCAATGGCAAAATGTCATGTTTTACATTATAGACTTAACTAGAAGCACTTTTGAGGATTATTAGTCTTATGTTACATAATATAGAGAGTAGAATTATGTGATGTGTAACACATGGCTACTCCATAATTATAGATCCAGGTAGGTCTCCAACTTACTATATCCATGTCTTTAAATAATTTCTGTCTACTACAACATACCATGACTAAGGAGTGTATTAGACGATCTGATTGGAAAAGGCCAGGTTTAATACAACTAGCAATTGTGGTGAAAATCTTCTCACTGGATTGTTTTTATTTTTCTAAGTGGCATGGAAAACATTATTTTAGTTACTTGCAAATCTTTTGGAAAGAGGCATATAATTTCATTCTATGTCCTTAGAAACTATGGTATAAAATGAAAGCAATTGTGGTGAAAATCTTCTCACTGGACTGTTTTTTTTTTTCTAAGTGGCATGGAAGACATTATTTTAGTTACTTGCAAATCTTTTGGAAAGAGGCATATAATTTCATTCTATGTCCAGTAAAATGCATGCCTTAGAAACTATGGTATAAAATGAAAAATGATGTTTAGAAATCTGAAAAATTTCCAGCCTTATAAGGATAGATTACCATCTTTAATCTGACAAACTGTTTCTTTAACTATGTAGGTATACCTCTCTTTGTCTATAAACAAACACTAATATGTGTTATAATGAACTAATTTTGGAAAAATATGAAGTAGAAGAAAAGCTTTCTTTTTCAACTGTAATTTTGAAGATTCAGTTTTCTTGAAGGATATTCAGAGGAAGAAAAGAGTGCTGATTCATACAAAAAACAAAACAACTCTATGGAAAATATTATTCTCCTCCATCATTCCAGAATGTGATGAAAAAGTAAATTCCAGTGCAGAACAGTTCCAGAGCAACAGTTAAAGCTGTAATTTTAAAAAGCTACTGAATTTACCACTAGGTTAGAAAGGAGGATAAAAGCATCAATAGCAGTTCTGAAGTTATAAAAGTGTAATCTCAAACTATGAGATGGCACAGCAGGGAATAAGGTTTATGGTGTGACAAGAAGGATAGTGCTTTTTCATCTCCCCCTTAAGATCACACAGCACAAACAATCTTTTCTCTCTAGCCATGGCCACTTTTCTTTATCACTAACTGTGTTAATTTGTTGTTCCAAATTATGTTTTTATGGGAGTTTCATTATTCTTAATGGCTTGTCTCTGTAGGAGCTTATATATAACTAGAGGTAATTTTTCATATCTGTTGTAAGTCTCAGATAGATAATTTGGAGCATTTTTTTAAACAAACAAATCCCTCACAAAACCTCTTTTGGTAATATTTCCTTCAACTGAATGTCAACATCACCACTGGATGCTTTCCTACTGCAAATGGTTGGGCCAATGACAGAGCCATGAAAACAACATTTATTTGCATACATTTTCCTGAGAGGACTCTTCTTTGGTTATTAATCTCATCTAACTCTTCTTCCTTCTGAAATACATACCCAGTGAGGGCTGCAGACTATAGCCCTGTCCAGAGTCCTTGTGAATAAAATTTGTCATAACCATTTGGAACATTTTTCTAAATGCTTTTCCTATTATGATTCAAGACTGCTCTATTACTACCTTAATGCAAAAGCTTCTTTTAAATTTGATATTCCTTTAAAAAATGACTCCTTTCTTCTGGAGGGTTTCCAAAACAATATTGTGCATTTTTATGAACCTGAAATATTCAGTAATAGGATTTTTTTCCCCCCATCCTCTTTACACAGAGGTTTGGAGACTATAACTGTCAAAAATAAAGTTTCTGAATCTAGAAGGAATTCAACCAAATAGTTCTGGGAAGTCCTCCTAACTGCTGTTTAACTTATAACTGCAGTGAAATCTTATGAAACACTAGAAGTTCTGTGTCTCAGCAGCTTTTTATAGCTTTTTAGGTTTACCAGTTATCCTAGATTGCATGAGCCAATCCTGAAATTTAGACTGACTGCATTTTCCTGTAGCATAGTATCCTGGAGATTTGCTGCCTTTGGCTTCAGAAACGGTACATAAGAAAAGTAATTGTTATAATTTCTTCCCATCCAGTGGACAAGACATACATTCTTCCACCCTTTAATAAGAGTATGAGAACATATTCTTGTCACTAAAGCAAGAGAGTGGAGACACTTTGGCCAAGGTCCTATGGCCTTCCAGAAAGGCAACTTTCCTGTCTTTTCACCTGATGCCAGACACACATCCTTGCACCTTGTTAGTTTTTACAGTGGATTTTAAGTACTTTGTTTAAATTGGTAACTTACACTTTTTAATACAGTGGCATAAGTGTTTGTCCCAGAAAAACCCTTTGCAAGTTTAAGGTGTGAACATTCTAAATACACAACCATTCTAACATGACACTTCTCAGATGGGCAGGGAAACACTGTCTTATCTCTTAAGCTGAAATACTTTGGTTTCTCCTTAGTAATTTCCAATATACAAATACCTTTACATGCCCAGTTTTTCTTTCAGCAACACTGCATTTTCCTTTTCTGGCAGTAACATATGGTTTTCTTAATCTTTCCACTTTTCCTTCAAACACATGGGGCTACAAAAGGCCCAGCACCCTTATTGCATGCACCTGGCCTTGTGTTTCAGCACCAATGGGAAATAAAGTGAAGATTGTCCACAGCAGAGCAATTTATGCAATTCAGAAACTGGGCTAAATTGCTTATTTTCTGAGGAGAACTTAAAATTTTCCATGTATACTAGAAAATAAATTAATCACTTTGACCTTGAATGTTTGTCAATTATATATAATGACAATTCTAGGAAATGGGGATACATTTTGACATCCTCTATTTGTTCAAAATGCACCAACGAATTAGCACAGATTGTTGAAGTCTGACATTAAACCTTCAGTAGGTTATTTGAGAGGAACATAGTCCAGATTCCCTGAACTGGATATTGAATGCATCTGATGATTAATCTATCCAATTACAGATAAAAATATTCTAGAGGTAATGGATGGGCATTTTTCTCTATCTGGTCTCGTAGTGGTCATGTTAACTTACCAAATTGACAGAAGTAAGGTTTCTCAGAATAATTGTGCCATGTCTGGGACAGTCTCACTGCATGGCTGCTGCTGCAGGCATAAATCAGTATTTTGAGTCTGTTTTATTGTTGGTAACATTACATAAACCATAATTCACCGCACTGCATTATTACATCTCAAATGAGACAGACTTAGCAACAAAATTTCTGTCAAAATATATTTTCAACAGAAGCTGCAGCTTCTGGAAATTCTAAATGGAATATTTCTCTAGTATAAATGCAATCAAAATACTTCTTTTTGGTAAACTGATTTGACATATTTAATATTCACTTCAAGATAAACTGCAGTTTCCTTGTCAGCTTCACTGTCACACTGAATAATTTGCTGATTCTAGTACCTGCTGCTGTCAGAGGACCTGACTGATGTCCTGGACCTGAGGAGTGGGAGAGCTGTCACCCAGCTTCCTCCCTTCTCACTTTGGTAGAGAAAGCATCAGATAAAGTTCTGTATAATCCTCACCACAGTTCCACAATCGTAAACACAGTAACATTATAGGCAAGCTATAATCTGTCAAATAATTGGAGAAATGAGCAGGATACTTTTGACCTTATCTGTGTCTTAACTGCAGCCAAGATGAGAAACCTGTAGTACCTCTCTTTGTATTTCTAATCATGGTCATTAGATTATGAAAGATTCTTTCACATGGTGTTGCCAAAGTACCTTTGAGAATTCAAAAGCTTCAAAACAGTTCTGAAGTCAGTAGGGTGTTATTTTCACATACCTATTTCACAGATGCACAAAAAGTCATGAAGGGCATAATTAACTCACACAAGATCAAAGTCTCTAACAGGTTCAGAAACAGTCCTACAAGTCCCAGCTCCATGGCTCCTGATGTAAAAACACTTGACAACACAATGTCAATCTCTTACACATATGAGCTTAATGTGTCTGTTGTAAGACAGAAATCTGTTTGCTGTGTGCTCTATTCTTCATTAACATAATATTTTACATAAAATCCATCCAAAAAAGTCCACCATATATGTTAGACTGTGGAACATATGGATGATTTAAATCTGAGATATATTTTTCATTTATGTTGTGCCATCCATGGTTTATTAATTTTCATTTATATTTATTTTTAGGTCAGCATATACAATTTGGTTCAAATGTGAGATCTGAAATAACAGATGATGAAATAATTCTCCTGTGTATTTTTTCTTGCTGTAATTTTCAAAATCATTAGCTATAATATACCAACATTCCAAATGAAAAAATAAGGGGAGAGTATTTGGTAAAATTCTATACAAATTAAAAAACATGGAGAATTCTCATTCCTTCAGTATCAAGCAGCTGATACTCACTTTCATAAATCTTTGCCATCTGACTAATGGTGCAGATATTCCATCCAAGGAGTAGACTATGCCTTACTCTCTCAAAATCTCTGGCCTGAAGTTCAAATAGATTTATTGATGGCATATGGTCAGCTAAAAGAATGTATTTCTATCTGACATATTTTCTGCAGGAAATATTTAATTTCTATAACAAATATATTTACAGGAGGCAAAAATCTCATTTTGTTCTATATTTGACAGTGTCTTTATATAACTAAATTCATTCCTTCCCTATGACATTTAAATAGGCCTTCATCTTCAGAAAATGAGATAATTAATTTCTCCTTTCAGTAGTCAATGATTCTGTTATGGCAAAGCCTCTAGAAATTTCAAAAAAGGAACAGAGAAGGCATACAAATTATGGCTTCACTTTTGTTTTCAGTAAGTAGTGGGCTTATAGCTATGCTATGAATTCTGTCTAGACAGTATCTTGGAGAGGCAAGGTGGTAGTAAGGATTTCAATGATACCTTAGTGAAACTAGAAGCAGATGCATGTAGACAACTCAGATCTCAGTGGGGAGATTATTTGCTTACTGTTACTCAGCAATTTTCATATGACTTACCTTTTGCTCATCTGCTCTACTATCTGTAATATTCTTTCTAATCAGAAGAAAATTCTGCTCCCACTGAAAGTAACACAGACTGAATCAAACACTAAATTCAGAGGTCAAAAAATTTGACTTAAAATGCAATAAATGCATTCATGAAACCTTTATGGCTTTACATGTCCACACTGACAAGAAATTTAAGTGGCAAGTTTTGTGCTTATCCCTTCGTCTAGACATTTCAATACTGTCACAGGTATATGTGGACGACATTAAAGAGTAATTTCTATTTCCTTTTCATGCCATCCCCAAGCACTGGAGAGCATTTAACTGTGATCTGAGTTTAAAACACTAACCATCCAAGTTGAATAATAATTCATATAATACTGAAAGCATGTGCTACTGAAAGATTGCACAGTTAAGTATAAGCCAATATAGAGGAATAGATAGAATTCCTATGTTGCTTTCTCTAAATTCCATTAAAAAATAGGAAAAATAAAAAGGTATGTCTATGGTCTTGGTTCTCTACTGCAAGTATGAATGTCCAGAAATACTTCTTTGTAAGGATTCTCAAAAACAAAGCACAACTTTGTGATTACAAGAACAAGACAAGCACTAGGGTAAAAAAAATAAATCCAAAGTTGTAAAAAACTGAAAAAGAAAATGCAACCACCCCTCTTACCTACATTGCAAGGAGGCAGCAGCTGCTAGCAGTTCATGGGGGACACAATAGTCAGATCTGCATCATATGCTGAAGGGCAGGGCAAAGCCCCAGAGCCACTGCCTTATAACAGGTCTACAGGACAAGACAAGCACTAGGGTAAAAAAAATAAATCCAAAGTTGTAAAAAACTGAAAAAGAAAATGCAACCACCCCTCTTACCTACATTGCAAGGAGGCAGCAGCTGCTAGCAGTTCATGGGGGACACAATAGTCAGATCTGCATCATATGCTGAAGGGCAGGGCAAAGCCCCAGAGCCACTGCCTTATAACAGGTCTACAGGCCAGAACTGATGGATCAGCATTTCTGCATTGCAGTATCCCAGGCATGCTATTGTCTGAACACAAAATATATCTCTGTACAATGTTTGATGTCTCTATACCAATTTATGCAAAACTGCAGAAGGTGCAAAAGATAGAAACCAGACTACACTACTTGGCTTATTCCTGCAACTAGTGCAGCATCATAGTGGAGCCACTACATCCCCTCCATCCCCTGGACTGACAGTATGAACTGGATGCAAAACTAACTCTACTCATTCAATATGAAAGATAGCATAGATAGGGCAAATCATATACAGCTGATTTCCAAGATTCAATTGGAAGATGAAGGTCTTGAGGCAAATTTTGATTGATCCGTCTCCACGGTTTTTCTAGACAAGGAAATGATACTTCTGTTCAATTGAAAGTATTTTTGTAAAACATTATTTATCTTTTTTTTTCCCCTACAGATCATGTTGTGTGTGAAGAAGAATTCAAGTATGCTATGCTAGCTCTAAATTGCATATGCCCAGCTACTTCTACATTAATCACACTGCTAGTTCATACATCTAGGGGACAGTAAGTATATACACTACCATAAACCAAGCAAACAACTTGTAAAAGTCATAGCTGATATTCTTTGGAAAACAGCTTACTCTGAATTCCTAGACAACTGTAGTTTTAAAAAAGAAAATGGAACTTTCTGCACAATAAAAGCATCAAGACACTTTACTCAAAACAATATAATTTCACAGAGAACACCCCCCTAACTTTTAATAGTTTGTGGCATGCTGCTGTGCCACTTCAACAGTATAATGTTTGAAAAAACTGTGTTTCCAGTTTAGCAGACTGAACTGTGGATCTATCACAAAATCCTATGTAAGAAGACCCAAGAATACCTATTTTAATGTGTAATTCAGAGGTCTGTTTCATTGAATTAATTTTTTTTTTCAGATCATATATATTATTTGCTATTCAGTGTCTGTACATTAAGGAGGAAACAAACAAACATGATTTTTAGCATAACCACACTGCAGGAAAGGATACAAAATTACAGTGACCCTATAGACTACACAGCCACAGTAGAACTTCTTTATATTTACTAAACTAATTTTACCACATCTGGCATATGTTATGCTATGTTTGTGGAAAAATAAGGTATTCTTAACTAAAATGTTGTGGGCAGAGAGATGCATTAAAGAGTAAATCTCAAAACATTTGTAGAAATGGAACATGTATATACACTATGTGTATACACTACAGAAGAATATGTTGAGAGTCTAGTAAAAATGCTAACTTTTTTCAAGTAATCATGGACCCAGTAATACAATATTTACAAGCAGAATTATTTAACCTTCTATATGGCATTTGTAATATTCCCCTGTGCCCAGAATGGGGAAAACAGAAATTGTTGCTAGAACTTTTACCATGAAGAACAACAAATGTCAAGATTTTAATGGCACTGTCTGCACTAGAATCTGTTAAAAAGACAACAAAATACTGTTTCCATGTCTCCTGAGCATCATGGTGAATTACATTCTTCACCTGCCTGCCTTTCATTATCTGACATTCACAGAATGCAGAGCTTTTTTTAGTTATTTCATATTACATGCACTAAAAAGAAGAGCAGCATTCCTAACAGCTAGCAGAGAATTTTCCATCAGGCCAAAACCAGACATATGAAAAGGAATGTTTTCTGCTGTACTTCGGAAATTTAGCATTCCATTTTTTAACACAGGCAAACTGATCATTTACAGACTCCCAACTATGATGCAAAGTAACTATCATAGAATGCAAAAATGCTTAGTATTTCTTTTGCAACTGGAACTAATTGATGGAATCAGTGCTATAAAAGTAACTGATTTCTAGTCTGGTCATTGTATACTAGAAGCCAAAAAAAAGTTTTTGTACAATTACTTTTAGCATTACTCTGAATCTGGAAGATTATATAAGAATACAGAAACATACAAGCTCTTTTGTGTTTATACATAAAATTGCTTTGTGACTAATTTATAAATCAGAGGGGACTTTTTGGCTTTTCTAAAAATTTTCTATTGATGAACAATAGGTAAATCAGGTCCTAATTGTTAAAATAGGTGAAATTACTTTTATTCATGCATATGAAAGATGAAGTGAGATGAAAATTTGAGTTTGGCTAAATATAAGTAAAAGGATTAAGGATAAATAGATTATTTAAACTACGAATAAAAATTTTAACTATATGTGCATTTATAGCCAAATTAAATACTAAGCTAGATCTACACTTCCAGTGTTAACAGGGAGTTGCTTTCCTTGACATTGGTTCCTGTTTAATTATCCTTTTATTAATCTGGTTATTATTAGAACCTGCATTAAACTTTATGTAGGACTTATGTTTTAAATCCCCATATCTGTTGACTCACAAGTTTAGTCACTACAGTGTAGTGACTGGAATGTTTGGTCAAATTGTTAGCACAGATGACCAAGTTCAAATGACTACCTAGGCCTTTCCATTCCATTAGGAATGACTCTTCTTTTTACACAGGATTGTAGGTGCATATAACCAGAGGAGACTATCAAGGAGCTGACCAGAATATTTCTTGCTTTTTGTCACTTTCCTGGTGAAAATTCATTCAGGGAAAATATGACCACTCTCATGCTCTACCTTCTTAACATTTGTTAGCTTAGTGTTATGATCTTAGAACCTAAGTGTCTTACATTTGAAGGGAATTAAACACTTCATTGACAGTTCATAGAGAAAACACTGTCCCTACTGTTTGTTGTACTCTTACAAATGAAGTCCTACCTATACCACAGGGAATGTATTTCCTAAACTTATTAAGAAATACAAGCTCATTTCTGATAATCATACACTGGGAGATTCCTGGAAGTTGAAGACAATACATAACAGCAGAACACTGGAAAAACTATTCTTCTCTATTATCCCAGTTATGATGATAATACAATAAGCAGTAAACAAAAAGAAACACATTACATAAATCAAAACTATCTTATCTTCTGGTATTAATAGGTGAGAAGACTGGGGAACACATTGATTTCCTAAGCAACTTTGGCCAGATCAGCTTAATAAAATTAAGGGGAAGTTTGCTCTGTTTATGTGAACTGGCTTTGGTCTTTAATGTGACTTTTCAGATGAAAGCAACTAGATGTAATTTATCCCATTGTTTTCTCCGCTGTTTATGGAATTCAAAACTTCAGTCTGTCAGACACCAAAATTCTACCTTGAATTTTATTTATAATCTTATTATTGATCTTAGTTATGAATCTTAACTTTTATCTTGAAATATTTTCTAATTATCTAATCTAATAGTAAAACTTCATTAGCCTTTCTATTATAATACAAAATATTGGAAGAAAATTGCCTTTCTGACTTGAACTTAATGTGATCTTTACAGAACAGCCCCATGGGAAGCTTTTAGACAACTAACTGGAACCAAGCAGACTTTAAACAGGTGAATGTTTTATTTTAGAGGGAAAAGTGAAATAGGGAAATCTTTTTTGTAATTACATTTTAATCCTGCTATTCTACACCAAGCACACTGTTTGTTAATACTGTTGCAATAAAAATGGTTTACTTATTTCCACCTTGAAAATAAAATTTTCATGCTGAGGGTGGAGAAACATAGTAAAATGAAGAAAAACAGAAATTGTGTAAAGATATTGAAAATGTATAAATAAGCATAAAGAAATGTGTCCCAATAATGACACCTTCACTCCAACTGGCAAAACACAGAACATATTGGTCAGTTTTATGACCTGCATCCATTATATCCTGAAAACTCATGCTGGCAGAACTTTGTTCCTACATGAAATTTAATACAAAAGTTCACAGAAACCCCAAGACTACAAGTTTTGGTGTTAGTTGAGGTTTGGAACATTTCCACTAAATGGTCTGTTTAGATAAAGAACATTAGGTGCATAGAGTAAAGGACAATATGCTTAGTAATTTAATTTTTTTTGCACTTGAGAAGGGAAGGTATACATTTGTAATAGTATAGAAGGCACAGTAACTAAAAAGGTCCAGAAGGTAAAGCTCACTGATCAGCAAATGCAGAAGATAAAGTGATCAAAGACAAATGGCTGTTTCCTACCTAAGTTATTACTAATGATTCTTTACCTACTTCAAACAGGAACCAGTCAGTCTGGCACTAAGCACCTGAAGACACTGTCTTTATGAACAGAATGAGCATGCTGTTGGTTTTACCTGTCATCTTTAAACTGCAGTGAATCTACTTATTGTGGTGTGAATTTAAAGTAATTCAGCCATTTCTCTCCTGATATTAAAGCACATACTCTTATATGCCTATTAATTAGCAGAAATTGCTCTTTAATTCATTAAGATAATCTCTGTACTTGCAGTATTACCAAACTTTGATCTCAAGCACTTCTTTCAGATTAGCCTATGGGACTTTTTAAATAGGCATTTGTAGTTTCTATTGACATGAAATACCTTTCTGATAAGTAAGACTTTTACATTAAGTTTTAAAGTGTTCTCTCTATCTGTACATGTTTCAGGGAGAGTCAGCAATCACCAGAACAATGGCAGAAGATGTATGGCAGATGCTCTGGTAATGAAGTGTATCATATTAACCTGGAAGAAAGTACTTTTTTTGCTGAGTATGAGGGGAAGAGCTTCACATATGCTTCTTTCCATGCACATAAAAAGTATGTTTGTTTTCCTACCAACAATTAAAAGTTCAAACAAATAATTACTTGTATTGCCTGCAATTTAGCTCTGCAGCCAAAGACACAGCAGTACTCATAATTCTGTTTCTGGCTTTAAGTATCCAGCCACTACTAGGGATGTATTTCTGTAAGTTATAGCTGGTCAGGTAAAAACTCATGTTCATTCTGTACAGGCCAACTCAGCCTGAGAAAGCAGAATGTAAGGAATGTATAGGATAAGCTGGATAACCAGAAAAAAATCAACTTAGAGAAGTTTTACTAGAACACCAGTCCCTTTCCATGCCCTAAACAATCAAGAAAAGAATGGGTGTGAGGGTGTGGGGCTTTAATTATCGAGGAGTCAGGTGCAAACTTGGCTTCCTTTGTGGTATGTTTGCTTTATGCAAAATGTGCAAAGGTGGCACATGCTACATTCTGGTGATTGTTCCAAAATAAACCCCTGTTTTTTCTGTTAGATGATAACATCCTTCTTTAAGTTCCAGATGATGCATCACTTATTCGATGATGCTCTGTGTAGTGAAAATACAAAATAAACAAAAATCTTGCATGTTTATATATATTCAAAAAATGAACATCTGTCAAACCCTGAATATTGAGTTTATCCTCATGCTTAAAAAGAGATTCACTCTGTTACTGTAACTCCTTATTTTCTATCACTAATCAAATACATTTCTAAGATTGAACTGCAAAAATGAATTATGAAAATTATTTCCATTACGCATGAATAATGGAACAATTTAACATGATTAATACTTTTTCATATTATATATATCCATTTTTCTACTAGTATTTTTCCAGAAAGGACTATTCATCTGATAGGAAAAAAAAGTCAACTAGAGCAACATTAGAAGAACATTATAAGGATCAAGAAAAAGACTTGATTTAACTGCCTAGGAATTTTGGAGCTCATAAAAATTGCTTGAGCAGCAGTAGCCTATTTAACAGACTACATTTTTCAAACGTTATTTGTCGTCCAAAAATCTGCAAATGTTCATAATGTGCAAAATATAAAAATATACCTGAGGTTCATTTTTGACAATGGAAATTCCGGTACATGCAGGACTATGCAAAGTGAACCATGCCTTTCCTTTTCTAATTAAGGTTTGGAGTCTGTCTGATTGGGGTTAGAAAGGAAGATAACAAAAACATTTTGCTGAATCCAGGTCCTCGTTATATCATGAGTTCTACAGATATATGCTTTTATATAAATATCACCAAAGAAGAGAATTCTGCTTTTAAGAAGCCAGAAAAGCATAGAAAAACACATGGATCAAAATTATCTTATCATGGAACTTCTAGGTTACCAGTACACAGTATAATAGCCAGCATGGGTAAGTAAAACAAGAACCAAAAGCCTCACTACATATTCTTATTCAATGAATAGTACATTTTAAAATGTATTCCTAAAGTTTTAAGAAACTCTAATCATGTACAGAAAGAAAAATTATGAAAAATTAAATGCTTGCCCTAATAGTTAAAAAAAATCCCACAAACAAACCAACAACAAAACCCAAATGGTATTTGGTTATCTTTTTCTTTTACTTGACAATATGGAATTAAACTGCTTAAAATTGTTGCATAAAAAAGTAACAATCAAGTGTATGCAGAATAAAGCAACTGAAAAAATCCCAGGAGTAGGTTCTTTGGCATTCATAACTGGTCATTTGTAATAAGTTTTCATAAACGTCTTTAATTAAAAAAATGCCCTTAGTAAAATTTACATTGGTGATGCATATAAATACGGATTAATTATATAAGGTATGATTTTTAAAAGGTAGTCAACAAGATATGCATTAATGGTCAGAAAAATTGCTACTTCCCTTGGCTGTCCTTTAAATATTTGTTATATTTTAACGTAGCAAACACAATCAATATAATATTGCTTTCAGTGTTTGGCCATGCAGTCAGGTAATCCCCACTAAAGACAGGAATCTCATTCAAATGTTTTAACAACCACACTGAGTAAATGTTTCCAATGCTACTTCAGGGACTGTGGCTATCGATTTGCAAGACACAGGATGCCGAACGTCCAGCGGCCCCACGCTGGCACTTCCTCCCGAGGGAGGTAAGGAGGGCAGACGGCCCAGTATAGCACCTGTTTTGGAGGTTGCAGACTCATCCTCACTTCAGACATGTGACCTGCTAAGTGACCAGTCAGAAGATGAAACTACCCCCTCAGATGATGAAGTCTCTGCAGGCTTAGAGTATGTATATTAAATATAAAATAATTTGAAAAGCTAAGATTATGTAAAAAGCATCAAATTTTTTTTACATGCAGATCAGTCTGAGAGGTTGTAAGAAGCAAGACTCATAAAGCCCAATTAATGGAATTATTTCCTTTCATGAAAGAAATGCTGTTGTCTGCTAGCAGAATGCCATGAGCCTATTTTGAAACAAAAACCCCCACGATCAGATTAATTCTTCCATTTGCTGGAGATAAACTGCAGTTATAAAAGCTCTGTTTGTATATTGCAAATTTTTTCATAGCATATTTTATGGCTGTTTTTCTTATGTTGTATAGATGCTATGTCATGCTCAACTAATTTGCAAACAGTTAAGGACTCCTGTCATGGAAATAATCAGATCATCCAACAGGCTTGTTGAGTGCTAGGGCAAGGTGTCTGACTTCAAAATGTACGAACGACCAAAATAACAGTATGAGACAAAATTATGGCATCTAATTTAAAATGCTTGTTAGCATGCTACTGAAAGTTATGATGCATTACTCAGAGAAACCAGAAAATTCAGTCCTGTAAGTGCCATGTAGATAAGCAATTCTGTTTATTTGGATTACTGGCAGGATGCTAAAACTGAAATACACGATTAAGTTTCCCATCTCCAACAGTGACAAGCATGAGAAGCCCCAGGGAAGATTATAAAGCTCCAATGAAAAAATTAATAGAACAAGTCATCTTAAATCTGCAGACTGAAGCACCAGTATCTAAAAGGCATCTTGTAAAAAATTAAGGCCAATTAGAAAATTCATTTTGTCAGCAAGAGGATTTGCCATTTAAAATTTATTTCAGCCATGTTGAAAATCAGTTCTTAAAGCAAAAGTGTAATGACTTGACTTGTTCTTGATAAGAGTTTGAAAGAAAACTTGGCGAAGGAAGAGTAGAAGTAGGATTATTTCTATTTTCTTTCCTTCCTTTTTCAACTTCCTTAGAAGTTTCCAGTTCAAAACACTAGGACAGCACACTATGATGCATCAGCCTATTTTCAAAAACCCAAGTGAAACAAAAGCATGACAGCTTTCTCTAGGCTGTATTGAATTGGCCAAAGCTGCAAAATATATTCCTTTGACCTTTATTAAACATAGTTCCTATCATGTACTTGACTCTGCAAAACTTAGACATATGTATGAACATCCCATAAAATAGTTGTATAGTCAGCTGTGTTTGGGTAATTTGCTGTACTGAAAAACACTTGTTCTGTTCTAGGTATGCCAAAGGTTATCCTCCTTACTCTCCATATATCGGAAGTTCTCCCACATTTTGTCATCTTCTGCATGAAAAAGTACCTTTCTGTTGTTTGAGACTAGATAAGGTAAAGGGAGTTTCTGTTTCTGCATTCTCACTTGTGTCTTGCATCTGAACAGGGCTGAATTCTGACTTTTGCTTAGAGATGAGGCTTGTTCAGCACTTGCTGAGCTAAGACATGTTTTCTCCTCCTTTCCATCACCGTTTGTTTATGTCCAATCTGGTTGGGTCATTTGAGACACTATTCACATCCACCGAACTTGCTTTTTCTACTGATTTCAGGGATGCCAACATAACTACTATGAAGATGCCAAAGCCTATGGATTCAAAAATAAATTAATTATAGTTGCAGCAGAAACTGCTGGAAATGGCTTATACAACTTCATTGTTCCACTACGAGCTTATTACCGACCAAAGAAAGAACTAAATCCCATTGTATTACTCCTGGACAACCCGTAAGTAAATTTTTTTTTGTCCTCTTTGAAGTTTTAAACTCATTTGACCATTATTTCAATAGATAACCACTCTTCACATGGCCAACTTAAAATCAAAAACATTATGGCACATTTATCCTTGAGAAAAGATAGTGACAAAAATAATACCCTATGTTCACTGTTCTATACAAAATTGACCCTTTGTGCACTGTAAATGGCTCATATTTCAGCTACGTTTTTCTGCAAAATATCCCAAATAATGTGAATATTGCTGCTGAAATTAAATGACTTGACAAACCCTGTAAAAAGCAAGCTGTGTAACAGTTTCACAGCTACATGACAGCACTAACCTACTTAACACAATGCACTACTGGCCTGCACCAGCTAGGCATATCTTTCATAATTCTAGCCTCTAAGATAAACAGTTCCTTAAGCCATTAGGACAGCCAGACACACTTTGTCTACAGTTATATAAAATCATGGATGAAAATTAAAACCTATGATGTTGATGGTCCTATTATTGTCTGGTGACCACTGAAGTTTTTAGCCTTTTTTTGCATTAGCTACTTGAAATTTCAGGCAAATTCTTCTCTGTCAAGACTGATTAATTTATAATTTGAATTAGATTTCCCCCCCTCAATACTTTGGTACTCCTCAAGCATTTAAAATCATAATTTTAAAGAGACAAAAATGGAAGTTAGCTGTATACAAAAAATTAGAACAAGTTACGACTCTGAAGAAATGACAGCAGCAAAAACAGTGGTAGGTTGTGGTTCCAGGCTGACACTTCCCTTTGCATAGATGTGTTCCAGTTTAAGTGTTGTTTTTCTATAAAGACCTGCTGTGAGGTGTCCCACTTTCCCTCAGACAGCTCTTCAGTCACCTGTGTTTGCAAAACAGAAGCTTTTTTATGTCCACACAGTGAATGACACAAATTGGTAGAACCTAAATGAGGCTAAAGCACTTGTGGTTCGCAGTGTCAGACCGAAGCTGTGAGCACACGGTGCCCTCTAGCGCTTGCTCTTCTTGCCAGCAGTGCCTGAATTTCCACACTTCAATGCTGTGGTCACATTTCATGGCTAAACCCACTGTTGATTAGCTTAATTAAAAGCTAAGGTTGCTAATTAAGCCAATAGCTTTAGTGTTGCGTCTCTATGCAACATTTGCAGTTTTTTGGTATGTAAGAATAAACACTGTAAAATTATGATTCAAGAAACCACAAAGTAAAATACAGTGTCTTAGTTTTCATATTCCATTTTAAGAATAAAGCATCATCTAAGATTGTCTCTTGGCTTGAATGGAGTAGATATCACAAAAACCAAATGATGATTTGATTCAACTTCACATTTTAATTAAGAACTGTCACTTCTTATTTTAAGTGCTCCTAAGTCATGCATTGGAGTATAACTTTGTAGTGTGTCCTTGACATTAGCCATTGATTCACATGTTTGGAATTAAACTGTGCCATAAAATTTCTGATTTTAGAGGTGCATTTATTAATCTAAGCATGTTAATTCTGATCATTCTTTGTGATCACAGCAAACTGTTGGTTCACAGCTTTCTGCAAACTTATTTCCTGCTTAAAGTGATATTATAATGTCAAAGTTTGAAAAAGTTATTTTTTTTTCTTTTTTTAAAACAAAGCTACCAGTTTATTGAAATACTTTAGAAGAGATGCTGCTGTTGTGATACTGTGTTTCATTTTGTAATCCCATCTGCTGCTTAGGCCAGATATGCATTTTCTGGATGCAATCTGTTGGTTTCCAATGGTTTACTACATGGTGGGCTCTATCGACAAGTAGGTGAAATAACTGTTAGAAAACTTAACATTGTAGTGCTCAGTGGTTTGTTGTGTGTATTGTCATTGCATGTTTCAGTGTGTGTTGTATTTGAAGATGATCTTTTTGCATGCATGGTTTGTGTCTGTGTGCTATAATTTGGGATTTCAAATTTCTGGTTCATAAAGAATATCATTAGTGAAAACTGTGACAGGGACCATGAGTTAATCTCCTTAAAAACATCTGATTAACACTTATTTAGGTGCATTAATGTTTTGACAAATGTATAGATTATAAGTCTGATTCTAGTGTCATTCTGTACTGACTTATAATTTATTTGAGTTTATTGACTCTGGTTTTGTAAAGATACCTACAGAATATAAACAATCTTGAATGTGTCCCAACAGTCTTCATCTTCCATCACTCAAAATATCACATACTCCTACACTTCTGTCTTCAACCCTGCTAATATATGTTTACATATATAGGTTTAGCAACATCAATTTAATGTAAAAATCATGCAGAAACAAGAGAAGAGTAAGGGCTCGTGAGCATTTTAGTAAATTCCTGTGCGTAGAGTGTAAATTTAAAGCAAACTGTTTGCTTCGCTACATAGCTAATACTGAATTGAGGCTACAACCCCATGGTATTGATTCCCAATGTAAAATACAAAAAGCTTATTTCCTGCCCTGATTAAACAGAATCCAGTTTTTCAATGAGAATTCTGGAAATTTAGCATGTCTCCATCTCAACCTCTTGTAACAAGGGCTTTAAAACTACTTGTCACAGTGATACAGGCACAGATTTACCTTGGTGATGTCATAGTCCTTGTGAGATTTATAAAGAATCCACAAAAATGGTTTTTTGCTTTCTACATATTTTGCTCTAATGCAGAAAGGATCTCAGGCTGTTAATATCTACTACTTTCTTAATTCTTAATTCCACAACATTTATAAAAAAGAATTCTACTGGTAGAATAATTAAATGTATACTGAAGAATGAATGCTCTAAGTAGTTAATAACTCAGATGTTAACCAGTTCCTATTAACATAGAAAATTAAACGTCCATTAAATTTCCTGAGTTTATTTCAAAAAAGAAATTACCAAATCCCTCCCTATTGGTGCTCAGTTGTTTTTTAGAACCGAGTGCATAAAAAAAAAATGAAGTCTTTGGGATAAGTGATTATATAGAATTTTAAAGTTTACAGTAATGCCAGCATGAACTTCTGTGTCCTTTCTGACACTAACATCACTTTGATTCTTGCTGCAATAACCAATCATAGTTTGTAGAAAGCTTTTTTTGACACTCGTTTTCATCAATAACCATCCTCGTAAAAATGTAGTTTTCCTCAACATGTTTTAAATCACGTACAGTTAATAGAAGTTGATCACCTTTAGCTAAGAAATGCATCGTAAAATATGCAAATTTTCCTTTCTTATGTACATTCCCAAAGTACCACCTTTAAGTATCTAACATATTTATCATTTGGTCACCTGGCATGAAATATCATCATGTTAGAGAGAAAACCATCAAAGGAGTCACTCTCATTTACCATTCTTTCTTTGTTAGAAGTGGCTTGCAGAAAAACAGCTTCGCTAAAATTCATAGCCAAGATGCACTTCATCAGAATAGGTCATAAAATAGTCTTTGGGTATAAAGATTTGAGATCTGTAATTGAACAGATTTCACAGCTGTGTAGCCATAGATTCCGTATTAAGAAATCTATAGCTAGAGGTACCTGAGAACTAGAATCATAATACTTCTAAATTAGCATGTTTTAAATTCTCCATGAATTAGCTGAATGCAACTGCTAAAATAAGAACAGCTCTTGAGCTTGTGAAACATTGAAATGCAGCAAATCTGGGTGTTTCAGAATATACTTCTATTTGCAGGGATCAACTGAAAGTTTGAAAAAGCAGAAATACAAATTACTCAGGAGATGTTTGGGATTGTACTTGTGCACTGAAGTTAATACAGCTCGTATAAAATCAGCCTTTCTTTTCTTATTGTCAACCACCAGTGATATTGCAGTGTTTCAAAAATACTTACATATATTCTTCCAAAATTAGACATTAATAAAACACCACACACGTCTAGTTTTCATTACCCAAAATTTTAAAAAAACTTTACAATGTGTTACATAAACTTAGGAACCTAAGAAGATCATGACTGAAAAGAAAAACTATCAGCATGATTAAGATTTAGTTAATATTATAAGATTGCCAAAGGAGAAGCAATTACAATGTCAAAATAGCTCTTTGCCTTGGAAGTAAATAGAATGATGCAAAATTTAGTTTTCCAATTTTCCTTGGAAACTGTGAAATTTTCCCTTTCTTCTTATTTCACTTAATTAAAATTTGCTATTCTTCAGGCTGTCTTTTTTATTATGGGAAAAATCCTTTCTAAACATGTCAAAAAGTACTTGGAGTCTGTGGAAAATAATGTTGTTAAAACAGCTGACACTTGCTTCATTTTGGAAACAAAGCTACAGGGCATGATGAGAACCATAACTCAGTTGTTGATGAGTGTTTTCTGTGGTTGTGCTTCACAGTAACATTGTCTAGCTGTGTGCAATGTTTGACTCATCCACAGCTGCTCCAAAAAGAATTGTGAGAACACTCCAACTCATAGTTTAGCTTAAAATATGAATGCATTGTATGTCCTGGTAGGAAACATATTAACATTTTGAAATTGAAATAAAATTGTGGGAAAGAGCAACCCAGAGCATTTATTTGGGTCTTTTCATTGTCAAAAGTAGCTGCAGTGCAGCAAGTTGTTGCAGCATATAAGGACATACTGTCTTCCCCAAGCTTATTTTTTAAAAAAAGGAAATCAATTTATCATTTAGCAAAAAGAGAGGGTCTGCAACTATCTACTGAAATAGATTTCATATTCTGTCAATTAATTGAGGTGTTATACTAGATGTAGATGATATGGATGTATATGGAGATGAAGGGAACTGAGCAGATTGGCAAATGCCAGCCATCGCTAATCTTTTAAGTGTTCCATATTTAAGTTGCTTGTTTCTTTCTCCCTCTTTGTCTTCACAAAAGCCTAGATGACTTATTAAGATGTGGGGTCACCTTTGCAGCTAATATGGTGGTGGTGGACAAAGAAAGCACAATGAGTGCTGAGGAAGACTACATGGCAGATGCGAAAACTATTGTAAATGTTCAAACACTCTTCAGGTAAGGCATTTTTTCAATCTATACATCCTCATTAACTGTGAAATGCTCGATGCCTTTGGCACCCAGATAAGAAATTATTCTTTTTTCTTCTACTGAAGTTTTCCCTGACAAGAAGTTGCATTTTACGTGGGCAATCTTTTTCCCACCCTGCTTAGCAATACACTTAGAATCTTGAGCTATTCTCCTGAAATCTCAGATAAAATTCTTTGCAATGCAAAACCAGATGATCCTTTTAAAAGTCAATTGTCAGGTTTGCAGGAAGGAAAAGAAAGCTACTCTTGAAGGCTAAGGACAAAAGATAGTTAGGAAAGGAATTTTTTCCTCAGTGCAGTAGTCTTTCACAGTAATGGTAAAGCCAGTATGAAAAACAGATCCTTCTAATGCTAAAAAGTAAGCAGTGCATCACTATGAAGTTAGTAGGAAGTGTTCACATTCTTGCTATATAGGATTGAACAAAAATTAGGATTTTAGGCACATATATGCAACATTACATATGACAACAGCATGTTAAGAGTCATGAAGGAATAACTGAATACAGAATGAAAAAATACACAGTCTAGTAAAGAGGCTGAAGAGGCTGTGACGAAAAGCTAAGCACTGAGATTTCCTGTTCTTTTGAGAACCTCTCCTTATTAAAGCCTCACTTTGTGTTAAATACCTTGGTTCAACAACTACGAAAAGATATATGTCCCTTTGATCTGTGAAAAATGTTATTTGCTGAAAAAGACCCAAAACAGAAACACCAAAAACATCTCCCACAAAACAAAAACAAAACACAGCACATGGCCAACTTTGAAATGCCTCCCTGACATGGGGCTTAAGTCTAGCACTTCCTGATATTCAATCTAATAAGATCTGGAAAAGCAGAAGTCTGTACCTTGGGGACTGAGTATCATTCAGTATTGCTTTGATTGCCATCACCCCTTTTCTGTGTCAAGCCTTCCACATAAGACCAGAGATATGCATAATAAAAGTCTTTTGAATGTGTCAGTGTTTTAGAAAACTGAGTCATTAAAATACAAATATTTCAATGGAGCTTTTTTCTTCACAAATGGAGCTGTGTGAGAACACAGTTAAATGCTGTTAGTATTTCTGCACGTGCTCAAAAGAAGTGAAATCTATGTTGCACGAGAAACTTTAGTTCTGTCTAACTTAGAGTTTTTGAATTGGTACCCGATACTAGCACAGCTTTGTGTGTGTTCCATAATCACACCTACTAAAATTGGGTTGGAAACTAGAACTGAGCTTAATCTTTGCATCATTCAGGTCTAATCTATATTGTGCTAGGGTATCTCACCAAGGCTTCTTGCATATATCACTTAAATTTTTCAGAAATACAGTTTGCCCCAAAATACAAAAGAGAAAAATGAGTTGAATGGAAAATAAAACTTGCAAAGTACCAGTTGATTTTTCACATAGCTGTGTTCCACTTTGTAAAAGATCACAGCAGTAAACTACATACCATAGGTATCCAACTAGATCTTACTATAAACTCATTCAATTGTTTTGCACAGTGCCTACAACTAGATGGCAGCTTTAACTCATGTGCAACTTATACACCTGGTTCAGTATTGGTTTGACTGTGTGGTACTACTTACAAACATCAAAATAAATGAGAATAAATATCTTGGTTTAACAATACTTTTCATGAAATTTTATAAACTTTCACAGTGTATTGTATACATTTTTTTCTATTTTTTTCCCCTAGAGCACATACAATAATTTCACTGCATTTTTCTATTATGTAAAAGTTGTAGAAATAAGTAAGCTTTGGGAAGAGGCATAAGGTAGTGGCATTTACCTGGTCTGCAGACTAAACTACATTCATTGCACCAAGGTAAATAGTTTTGTAAAATACCTTTAAAAATATACTTAAAGCTTTTTTGTTAGTTAATAACTAATACCAGAAACTAATGAGGAAGAGACTGGACATGCAAGAGTACTTCACACAAAACTGTAGTGTTGAAGGATTTTAAACTACCAGATTTAATACATGCTGTTCTCAAAGACACCACATCAGTGAAGAAGATTCCACTTAAGTGTCACCAAATGAAATCAGTCAGATGATATAGGCTAATCTAAACCTCACTGATGCGATTTACTGAGGCCTGAAAAAGGAATGTGAATGTGCTGCAGTACTGTTTGGCCTAGGCTGGCAGGTCTGTTCTGACATTATTCTCTGATTTACATAAATTAATAATCTTGCTTTGCCAGATGAGTGTGCCCCTCTGCCTTAGAAGACAGATGCACTGTTTATAAGGACAGGGTTATTAGCACTTTTAAAGCTAGAAGCTGTTCCATACCAATTAAAACTGTGGCACAACACTAGCTTATCTGACTTAATTACAGTTAAAAGGAGTAAAGAAGTGTGACTTGAATGGTCACACTGACTAAGAAAGGAAGTCTTTCATCCTTTGGATAGGAAAGAACAAGTTATTACAGAATGAAAATAAAAGGAGAAATTGATAGTCTTGGACTATGCCTTAAGATGCTTTTTCACTTTTGGAAAAGGAAATAGGAAGCCAACAATTGAGTCCCTGTAGACAGCAATGAGTACACCATAGACAAACATTGAGTTTCCTCATGCAGTAGGTCCAAAAGGGGTGTTTATATTTACTCTTGCTTTCAAGTAATTGAAAGCTTTAAATGGTGGTGATCAGGAGGGCCCATTTGAAAGTTCTACTAGCTAAGATCTTGAAGGCTGTATTTCAAATGCTGCAAGATGCCTCTTGGCAGCAGTACACCTGTCAAGTCAACAGTTTGGCTGGCATGTAGCTGTCAGCACCAATTTAGAGATAAAGCAAAGGAGGTGTTGTGATGGCATTACATTGATTTATCATTTTGGTTCAGGAAAGAATTAAATGTATCTCTTGCTTGTCAGATTTCCAAATACCAATTCAACAACAATCCATACCTTCCAACGGGCTGATAAGAGCTTTCTCTGCCCCATCCATACTAGAATGGGATAGAAGAGAAAGATCTTTGCACAGAAGTAGCCTGCTCAATGCTGAACTCTTGCAGGCAGTGTGAGAAGCAACTTGTCTCTCTACCTGGAGAGTAATTTCCCCTACTTCAGTTAATAAGGCACTCATAGGTAAAATATGAATTTTACCAATACCAGCTCTGAAACTGATTTCCTAATATAAATCAGTTTTCACATCTTGGTGATAAACAAAATTCATCTTCAACAGAAACCTAGTTACCTGCCTTTTTTTCCCGCCCTCTAAGTTATGTATATTTTATCATTAGATCAGCTTTTAATTTCCTGCTGCTCTTAGTTCTGAGTGTTATATTGTTAATTTTCAAATAGGAATGCCCGACATTTTATGCTTAATTATGGCAATACAAGAAAACATCCATCCAGCAGAAGCTTAAGTAATTCCATGCTCCATAATACAGAATTAGTGCAAATTATTCTCCTTCCTCAGAACTTGAACATATTTGTTAAGCTAGTTAAGAAGTCCAAGTTCATACCTGTAAGTGTGATACTTTCATGAGCACTGGCAGGTTTTTGGAATACACAACATACAAGTGAAGATGTACCACAGTTTCATCTCAAGGGTGAGGTTAGCATGTCTTTACTCTCTGTATGTAAACTCCATTCCCTAAATACTTCATTTTTACTAGGACATAAATAGACTGTATAACAACACTGCTCCAGTCAACACTAGGCTACATTTTGACATCATTAGAGCTAGAAAACTGTATTGCATTGCTATGGCATTAACTCATACTGGCAGATAGTCTTGACAGCCTGAATTGGTGTTAACTTATAAATAATTTGTATATGTAAATATTTTAAAGTGAGAACATAAATATACATAAGAATATATTTTCTGAGCAACTCCCACAAGTGTCAGTTTTCGTCTACACTGCTCTGTCTGTAGTCACAGCATACAAAGAGAGCTCAGGAAAAAAATTCAAATGTAAAGAGTACATAAACCAGTAGCAGTCTACAGGTACTAATTGCAGGCTATATAGTTGGCATTTTTTTCTTGTTTCCTACAGCTTTTTGTCATTTTAGAAATTATTAAATAAAATCTTTGGTAATGAAATGAAGTGGTTTCTTTCTGACATTTAAATATATTGTAAGATCAATCTTTGAATGCATGTGTGCTGCTTTGTGAATTCTACAGAGAATGTTTTGCAGTTTCCTCTGCTATTGTACCAGCATTGTGTAGTGCCAAGAACCACCACAGATTTCAGGGACTTCATTAAAAACATGGACATGAGCACAAGTTGTAGCATTATGTAGAGCCTTACATTTGTGAATTGTTATAATGAGAGGTATAACCATCATATTCTTTTAAAATACAGGTTGTTCTCAAGCCTAAGCATTATCACAGAACTAACTCACCCAGCCAACATGAGATTCATGCAGTTCAGAGCCAAAGACTGCTATTCTCTTGCTCTATCCAAATTAGAAAAGGTAAGGAGATTTGCCTCCCCCCAACCTTCTTCAAATTTAAATGTTATAATTTTTTTACCTTTTCTGATTTTGTAACAATGATTTCAAAACAAGTGGAAACAGTGAAATGATTTTAAGGTTGTAGAGCTACTGTAAAAGTTCATATTTACAAAACTCTTCCCTCATTTAAGAGTGAAGTTTGATTTGATTTCCATTAGTTTACAATATAATACTAATCAACCACATCTGTGCTGGAATTTTCTCAAGGAAAACAGAATATTTTTGGATAACTGAATATTTAGAGCTAGTATGGTTTTCCAGGGGGGTGACACAGGCAATTAATGTGGAACATCTTTTAACTGACTAAACACTTAAAACAGACAGCTTTTATTATATTTTTAATTCCTCTTCACTTGAAAGGCACTATGATTACATCTTCTGTACCATTTTCATATATCTGTATGAGATATTGGCATTACTGTGACAGCTTGAGAACAGCAATTGTTCTCTGCAAAGGGCAGTCCTAGTGACACTACTGAAATGCTAGATAAAACCTTCATGGTCTATAAATTATCATGCATGTGTTGGCATTTTCAAGCTGTGGAACAGGGAGACTAAATGGAGTTTTGTAAAATTTACTTTGCTTGTTTAAAACACTATTAGATTGGAGCATACAAATTAACATGTTCATCTATTTAACTCAGTAAACTCAAGGACAATCCTCTATCACAGATCTTCATTGGTGATCTGACCTACACATCTCTGCCCTCCACAAACCTTACAGTATCTCATTCATGATCTTTCAGGCCATTTTCTGAGTTAATGAGAGTAAGACAAGTAATACCACTGTGCCAGTCTTCAAGGACAGAAACCCTTCATGACATTTGTCTCTTTTGGCCCTTGCTATCAATCTGTATTTCAAGGACAGAAACCCTTCATGACATTCGTCTCTTTTGGCCCTTCTTATCAATCTGTACATATGTCAAGATTATTACTAGGTTTTCTCCGTAGCCTCCCAATCTCTGCACCTCAGATTTCTTACATATCTTGGCAAACTTGAATCCATGCTAAAATCATTGCCATTTCACAGATTTAACATATAATTTCCATTTACTAGCTGTACAGTAAATTTCATAGATTTTGAGGATTTCAGTTATTTCACTATTTACTATATCATTTTCACATAGGTAATTTTAATATCTATATAATGGAAAAAAGCCTTTTCATAGTAACTGGTCTTCACATTCCAGCTTCCAGTTTCTTACAGAGGAATTGAATCATGCAAATATTCAGCATGTCTAGATGAGATAGGATAAGTATGAGAAGTAAATCTTATATTCAGTTGACCATCAGACTTACATGTTGACCGCAAGATGCAAATATATGGGTGATCTCTTGTGATTTATTGACCTTTGTCCAGGACAGCACAAAGGCTTCATCTTATTCAGGTGGTGTTCTGACATGTACATAGCATGAAGAACTGTGAGGAAGCCAGACTAAAGTTGTTAAGCAAAGAGAGGAGCCATTTGCAGCAGGAGGCACAGCTTTATATGGCTATGCCTATACCACTCCCACTCCCCATTATAGGTTGCACCTGTGTCCTCTCCATTTTAGCACTCCCTCCCTCAATGGTAACTTCAGGGAAGACAAGCTGAAGCTGGTTGGAATCAGGCAGTGCCAGCTTATTCAGGGCAACAAGTGCCAACAGCTGGATGGTGCCTTCAAGACTGTGTTCCAATCTAACTATAACTTGACAGATTTTTTTATTACTACTTTTCAACATATTCCCTTAATCCAATTCCAGTTGCTTCTGGAACATTCTGTGGGCTGCAGCCTGCCTACTTCAATGCAGCAAAACCAGGATTTTAATCTCAGTTTTTTCTTACTTTACATGGACTCCTTCATTTTCCAAGTTTCTGGAAATAATTAAAAATACTTTCACTTCTTCCCTGTCTTTATTATTTGATTGTGCAGATGTAAGATTGTGAATATAGGTTGGAAGCTGAACAGTTAATGAACTTCCTGTCCAAACTATGCTCTGCTGAAGTGGAGGTAGATAAATTATCTTAAAGAAAGAACATTTCCTTCATTGCTGTTGCAGTTGCCTGCTGTTGATATTTCCCAGTCATTTCAGCTTAACATTTGCAGGGAGAACTTCACAGGTGGTGCTGTAGTTCATTTGATGTTTCAAAAATCCCTCAGGCAAAATGAAAGGCAATTAAAAACTCCACTAAAAATTATCTAATGCAGTCAAACGTACAGTTGCTTGTTTATGTCTGCATTAAGCATCTCATTTTCAGAAAGACTGAAAACATCAGGCAAGTTGCCTTCAGGTAGCACCAAAACACATGTGCAAAATTGGCTTTTCAACCTAATGGGCTGCAGAAGAAAGGTAATGCAAATCAGATGTCCATCTGCTGTTGCAGCTGCAACTTTTCTCATTTTAGAGGTAAATAAATCTGATGGTAAACTCAGCACTGACACAAGAGAGAGCAGTGGAGATGGGCCTTAGGTCTCTTTCAGCAACTGACAGAGTGGCTAAAACAGGTTTCAGATTAGTTTGGGGTTGATAATTTCTTACTGGTATCACAGAATTTACTGTTAAGAAGGCATAGGTATGATGCCAAAATAGGAAAAAGGTGAAAGCATGATAAAGAACCTTAAACAAAATTTGGCACAACCCCATGCAATGCTACAGGCTTGAGGCAGAGTGGTTGGAAAGCTGCTACAGGACCTGGAGGTGTCTGCTGACAGCAAGAGCCAGAAGTGTGTCCAGGTGGACAAGAAGGCAAATGTCATCCTGGCTTGTATCAGAAGTAGTGTGACCAGCAGGACCAGGGCAATGATCACCTCACTGTACCATTTCTTCCTTTTTTGCATCACATTCTGTTGTGTTTCAAGTTTCTGTTCCTAGTAGACTTTCTGGACCTGATCAGCACCAAGATATTGGAGCATGTTAGCAAGAACTTTGCTCTGAGCACAGTTGATATCCCTCAATCTTTTACAAATTGATTTGGCAGAATATGCCCATGCAATTTGAGATGTGATGTGACAGCATATACATTAATCAAAATCTTTCAGCCTTAAAATCTGTATGTACTGAACAAAGATGCTGCAAACTTGTAGAAAGAAACTATATTGACAGTAAAGAGATTTTACACTTTTGACCTCTTTCAAAGTAATATCAATTTCACCAGCATTAAATGTGTTTTTTATTTCTTAATTCCTTAACAGAAAGAACGGGAGAAGGGATCTAATCTGGCATTTATGTTTCGACTACCCTTTGCTGCTGGGAGGGTTTTCAGCATCAGTATGTTGGATACACTGCTTTATCAGGTACTATGAACAATAATGTGACTTATCTTAGCACCTATTTTATTGTACATAATTGTTGGACGACCCCATGTTCCTACATATGATCTATTAAAGTCTGTGTCTATATGAGAAACTATCAAAGGCAAAAGATAACGGACCATGTTACACATGATGGTATTAGTTCAGCTATCAAATAGTTTTGATAAGACCTTCATAAATTACAGATTTTAGAGACCAATAACACTTCACTCTGCAATAAAAAGGCAGTGCCCATTGCCACAACGTGGTGTCGCTAGACACAAAAAAATCAAGAGAATTACTTTTGTGAGTAATTTATCAGTCATCTGCATTTACTGATAAAGGCCTCAATTACTTCATTGATGGTCTTGGCCTCCTACTTGTCTTGACTAGACCTCCAGGGAACCAATCATTACATTTTAAAGTGAGCCATTCTGGCTCTGGCAAGGAATATATTCAGTGGTTTCAAAGAGGCAGTGGGGGAAGAAAAGGCAGCAGTGAACCTCATTGTCCAGAATACAGGACAGAGCTCCTCATGCAGAAAGTAGTGATGACAGTCATTGGGGATAAGGGAAGGGCAACAGCCTCAGACAATTGAAGAAAAAAGATCAGAAAATACAGTCAGGGCAAATGAAGTTAACAGTTGCTAGTTTCAGGGTGGAAAAATAGGCCAGTATTGCTCGCTCTTCAGCAGTGACCATATTTCTGCACACTCTGATGCATCATGATGCCCAGGCAGCAGCCCCTAGTACTAGCCCTTCAAGGATCAAAGTACATAGAAAAATGAGCAATACCACCATGGCCCATGTAATCTGCTCACCTAAGTAGCTACCTGTACTTTGCTTGTATCTAGAGACAGCCTGTGGATGCTTTTTGCTGCTCGCTCTTCAGCAGTGACCATATTTCTGCACACTCTGATGCATCATGATGCCCAGGCAGCAGCCCCTAGTACTAGCCCTTCAAGGATCAAAGTACATAGAAAAATGAGCAATACCACCATGGCCCATGTAATCTGCTCACCTAAGTAGCTACCTGTACTTTGCTTGTATCTAGAGACAGCCTGTGGATGCTTTTTGCATCCAGGTGTGATCTTGTAGGGTAGGGAAATTAGTTTGGCAATTTGATGCTTGAAAGATCTTCTTTCATCTCAATTCTGCTTCCAAGTAAATTCCCTGAAGGCGAATTCAACATAAATAGACAAATTCCTGGAGCTAGTCTTTTCTCAAAAAGTGCTTAATATATAAACCAGTCATGTATATGGACATATATGTGCTAGAAGTTTTAGAAATAAATGTATTTTCTTATAAAACAACTTCTTCATCATGACTCACAATATCAACATCATGTACCACAATATTTTAAAAAGAATTAAAATATTATGGCACATACACAGGAACAGATCTGTCATCATCAACAACTCCTGCCAGCACATAAATAGCTTCAATATTTTATGTTTGCTCCTGGACATGCTGTGACTTGACAGAGTAACACCATTCATCCAGAAGTCTTTAAAACAAAAAGCCCAATACACTCATTTTCACTCAAATTCCACCTGTCTTTTCTTTGAGCTGCTACTGCTCAGGTGAGCTGTCATTTTTCCAGAATTATCTTCCTTATTCTGCGCTACATATACGATGACAGCAACTCTCTGTTCTTTTTCATGGTCCCTTCCATTTCTGTACAACTTTTTTTTTCGCATACAAGTTACAGAGTAACTAACACAGAGAACAGCAGAGTTCATCTGGTTCTTCCCTTTATGGGCTAAATACAAAACCTTAAAATTCTCTTTAGAACATTGAATGCAAAATGAGTGTCCAATTGCAGCAGCCCAACCCATGTGGGCAAGTATTTGTGATTTTAGTTGATCTAATGTCTGTTCCTGGCCTTAGCCAACACTTCTACATTGAGCTTAACTTCTACCTTTTAACTAACAGCAACACATTTCTATTAGTAGAACAACAAGCCTGGCCTGAGACAAGGCAGGTCAACCCTTCAAAAACCAGATGGATAGGTAAAAGCCAGTGGCTCATCTGAATTGAAATAGTAGCAGTATCACTGATTGCCACTGCTCAGTACTGCAGACCCAGCTACATATGACAGCATTTCTTTTGCACAGAAGAGTCCATTATTATAATTTCACACCTAGTAAGGCTAACACCTTACTTCCATTGATCTTATGACTACCTTCATCTTTGCTTTTATGGTGCCTTTTTATGCTTTAGTCTTCTGAATCCTCTATGTACGTTGCATGCATATGCAGAGCCAAATAAGAAAATGTATTTTTTGTAAGTAAAGTCAGCAAAAAAGAAAGGGATAGCTGTTTCTACAGTGATTAAGAGACTTGCAAGATAAAGAGATTGATTGCAAACACAGATGTACAATTTCTTTGAAATTAACCCATGGTGCTAATGGTTACCTGCTCACCTGTTCATTAAAGCTTTTTTTTCTTTCTTTTCTGTCTCTCCTGTTAAAACAATCTTGCAGTCGTTTGTGAAAGATTATATGATTTCTATCACAAGACTTCTGCTGGGACTTGATACCACACCAGGATCTGGGTTTCTTTGTTCTGTAAGTTACTTCAAAACATAAAAGATTAGTACAGAGTGCCAGAGAAGATCCTGTAGTGTGTGCAAAATACTTTTACTTGCTTTGTGCAGCATTTCCTTTTGTGAAAGTCCAAGAAAGGCCATCTGTTTCTGTTTTCACCAGGGTAGAAGACAAGAAAACTAGATAGAAAAACATACCCATTTTTAGCTCCATAGCAAAACACAACCCCCTCCCCAAGAAAACATAATACATTCTATACAGCAGAAAGGAAAATAGGAACAACAAGAAAACACAGGAAAAGTGCATTTTAGATGAAATAGCAGTGGCAATTCAGGAAGCAGTTTAAAAATTGAGTATATAATAACCAGGAAGGACAAGCTATATTGTACAGCCTGGCTAGCACGTACAATGCCATTGCACAATACCCATTTTCATCCTAGGTAATAAAGGGCACAAGTAGTTTTTTTACATAAAAATGTATTAAATGACTTTAGATGCCTAAGTTAAAAAGTAATCTAATTATTATATATGTCAATATTTTCCAGTGCAAAGTATATTTGTATATCTATTTTTATGTGTACATTGACATAAAAATTAAAACCATTAACATGATTTTATTAAAATGAGCCCCACCTTTCTGTTTTCTCCCACACCCATCATGCCCCAGGTGGCAAACAGACCAATACAAGTTGAGTAATTTACAAGTTGCTTTCTGAGAAATTATAAAGAATTGCAGGATATTGTTCTCAGAAAGAAGTTACCAATGATGGTTTAAGAAAGTTGCTTAAATAAAAACCCAGATGTATTTCTTGGCTAATCATTAGTGAACGTAAGATAATCAAATCTCTAAAATGGAGCTCATATATCTTGAAATAAAGCTAGTGTAACTAATAAAATAACTGGGATTCATTTAAGACTTTGTTATGCCATTTATGCTTAGTGTATTACTTCCTCCCTTCTCCCCAGATGTTCAGCCTGCAGTTCAGTGAACAGTTTTCTGGCTGCATTCAAAATACTCATGCATTCTTCAGTCTGTCCATCACCAGTTTCTTACTGCTGCCAATGTTTAGTTCATTCTTTCATATTTTAGTCAAATATGAACACTGGATGAAGGCTGTGTGTAAGTTCCTAAGCAATTTTAAAACAAGACCAGAAGTGCATTACACTGAACCACTTGCACTGCAATGCCTTCTGAACAGGGAGAGAACCAAAGAAACAGCATCTACAAACTCAATACAAGTTTCAGATTTGTTGTGCAGCAAAGGTACAATTCTGCAATATCATAATTACCAGCTAGTGTTTAGTTTTAGGGTTTTTTTTCATGAGTAATATAGTGAAGAAGTGATAAGCCCTCTTGAGCTAAAAGTCCTGCTTCCTATTATTATTTGTTCAGATGAAAATCACAGAAGAGGATCTGTGGATTAGGACATATGCCAGACTGTATCAGAAACTTTGCTCTTCTACGGGAGACATTCCAATTGGAGTCTATAGGACAGAACCCCAAAAGCTTACAACATCTGAGGTACGTCAGTTTACTGTGCTTTTCTTTGGATTTGATTGCAAAGCATACAAGGCCTCTGTCTGCTGACGTATGTGTGGTCACGCTCAACTTGGGCTGACTCAGCCTAGACTTCAGGAGTACCAGTTGCCATATGGACTTTGATTCTTGTGCTTACCTGGAGGAAGCTGATGGATTGGAAACAAAGGGCAGCCCAGACAGCTAGAACAGGCTAGGGGAGTTGGCTCTGCTTAGAACTTGCATGTGGTGACTTTTGGCAGTATCTGTGACAAGCTGTATGACCAGGTGCGCTGTCAGGTGTGTCAAGAATGCCAGCATTGTATCTCAAAAGAGGTGGCACTTCCGTATTCACATGACTTTCTAATTTATTCTCTTCTTGTTCATTTCTAGTTAGTGCTGTTAAAAGTCTTGTGGAATATCCCTAAATTTAGCTGCCAAACAGTGGTAATTTTTGTTATATATATATGTATTTATGTGTTTGCCATATAAGTTATGCATTTGTCCATCTCTTTCTATAAAGAATGACAAAAATACTTTTTCCTAATTATTTGACATACTGTTTTTGTTTGGACAGCTTTTATTTCTGTCATTTATTAGCCATTTATTTATGTGACCATTAGTACTGCCATCTCATTAAACCATGGCTGCAATACAGCTCTAAAATGCAACAGTGAACAACAACTTTCTCCTTGTTTCTGAAATAGTCAGACATAGTTTACATTGATTTCCAAGACAGGCGATTTGTATTTTCTCTTCCATATATCAGAAAAATAGGAGAAAACATTAAGGCATATAATGCTTAACTGCAAGATTTATCCTGAAGGAAGTACAAACATTCAGTTAAAGTTATTTTTTTATTTTATTTATGCAAGATTCCACCTAGTTCACTAGTGTCTCTCTTTGTGGGCCACCACTATTTGTACAGGTGTCTCTTATGGCTTAGCCAATGGACTGCATCACTGCAGGAATGTCAGGTGATTTTTAAAATAGAACAGCTTTAACATAATCCATCAAAAGCATTCCTTGGAGAAGAATGTAGTCAGCCTCAGTACTCATATGAGAAAAAGTCTCTCATAGCTTTCAAAAAAGCAGAAGACATACCATATTTTAAGAGTTCTTTAAATAAAGGTCAGATAAAATTCATGGCAATACTTTATTCTCACATTCAGGGCTAGCTATTTAACTTCAGGTCCAAAAGAGAGAATCCTGGACAGCTGAATTGTGAGCACACAACATATTATGAGGAGTGCATTTTGGTGGCCTTAGTTTTTCCCACTCTGTATTGGCACAGGCTTTCAAACGTACAGGCTGACTAGCAAGCAGCATCTGCACAGGGGAGGGATAACTACAAGAGTAACCTTCATCTTTTCTACATGAACTTGTTTGAGGTTTTTTGGCAGGATGCTAGGGGAAAGCATGCACACTCTTAAATAAGTCTTCTGAGACAAGCTTAACTGGTAAAGATCTTTCAACCACTTTCTGAAAATGAGTTTTGGGACCATCAGTCACTTAATAAACTCACACTTTTACGGTAATATCGAGAATCTCTGGAGCCTGTACACACACCTCATCTGCTCAAGTGCTTGAATATTTAACCAAACCAGGCCCAGATTTAGTTGGAGATAGTGATTATCTTTTGCAAAGAAGCAGTTCCTTTAAACATTCAGACACTGGTCAACTTGAGTTGCAAGAATAAAACATGCCAACATTAATGTTTCCATATGTACAATTTTTCCTTTGGCACCCCCTTTTTGTACTATGCAAATGACATCACTCACTTCACTGACAGATAAATATAATTCCTTTAAAAATAAAGCAACTTTCAGTGATCTAGTAACTAAATAACAAGTGAATCTAACCTGCCTCTCAATGACCATCACCGATGAATCAAACTAATCCATTTCATTAAAAAAAAAAGTGATGAATTTTTTTTTTACTACCTGTGTAGCTGATTTTCTGTGGGTCCTGTTTAAATGGTCCATGTTTGTGTCTTTAGATTCACTTCTGTTCAAATTGTCTTTTGTTTTTGTTTTTTTCCCCTTCCTTTGTCAGTCACGAGAAATGGCTTCACAAGTAAGTATTTACTTATTGTCTGCCTGTTTTGGGGTGTCATGGTTTCAGCCTGGGAGACAGGGACCCCATAGAGCCTCTCACTTGCTCACTCCCCACAAGGTGGGATGGGGGAGAAAATTGAAAGGCTAAAAGTGAGAAATGTCATGGGTTAAGATAAAAGCAGTTCAATAAGTTAAGCAAAGCTGTGTTTGAAAGCAAAGGCAAATAAAGAATTTGCTCAGCACTTCCCATGGGCAGGTGGATGTTCAGCTATCCCCAGGACTGCAGGGCTCCTTCACGTGCACTCGTGAAGACAAATGCCATAGCTCCACAAGTTCCTCCATT